TGTCATACAAAAACAGGCCTTTTATATCGGTGAGTTATTTTGATGGAATTGACGATGTCCGATTATGAACTTTAACGCTAATATCGGCCGATACTGATACCATGCTGATATTATTGTGCATCCCTACATGATAGCATACAATCTTGCATGAAATCATTTCTACGATTTGATTTATTTTTTTTAACTAAAAACCCTGTCCTTTTTCAAGTTTAGATCATCTTACTGTAAAACTCTGGCATCAAAGGCCATTTCGTCACCCAATGTTAGGCATTTAGTTTGTTTTACTGTATTTTTAGGTACCATTGAGTTTTAGAAGTAGTTGATAGTCTTTTTTCATTACCCTGACCTCTACTCACCGGTGATTATTTTACCAGCAACAATTAAGGCTGTCACAGAGGCCGTGTTTTTGTTGGGCTTAATGAAGCGTTTATAGCCTGACATGAAAGAGGCATCTCATGTTAATCCCTGTAGAGAAAACCAACAACAGCATCCTGTGCCCTGGTGAGTCAATAATTGCAACCACCGGTGGGACGAGAGCAACTTGACTTTAAATGGAGTGCACATCGTTGAGGATGTGAGCCAGACAAAGAGCAAAAGAGCTAACGAGAAGAGCAGTAGAGACTGGGGAGACGGGTACAGTTTGCAGTGAGCAATTCAGGGACAGGAGATTAGAGCTGAAAGAGGGGAAGGAAGATTTAACATGACTTGTGTCTTGTACTCTGCACCGAGACGTCTGAGTCTGAAGCTTATGGTTATTTGTCACACCCCAGTCCTCCTTATGTCCTGAGTCCTGTCCAATTTAAGTCTTGGGCACAGTTTACCGAAAAGTCTCGTGTTTATTTAACTTTTTATTTTTATATATACATTTTGTTCTGTTTTATACATTTTTTTTGCGAGTGTGTGTTCATGAAGGAGTTGGTCAAAAATGGAAGGCAAAATTATCTGTATGTACATGTGTCCCATGTCTGTTTGTGCATTTAAGTCCCGGCCAGGAAGATAGGCATTACAAGTAGAGATGAGCTGCTAATAGAGGGGGCGGTTATTGAAGTGTTTAAGAAAACGAGAGGATTAATCCCAGAGAAATGAGCACCACCGTCTGCTCTCCATGCTCAGGGGGTAGAGGGTGAGGCAGGGGGAGACGGAATGACACAAGGGTTGTGTGATGAAGCAAAGAGAAAGAAAACTGTAAATGAGGCCTTTTTGGAAGCTTGAAGGGATTATCCACCCCCTTCCGGGGCTTTCTCCAGCCAAATGGGCCATCTAGAAAGATTTAGAAAGGCTTGTTGAAGACTGAAGCATGGAAGACTATAGAGACCAGATTTATTAGCCAACCAAGTGTTTGAGTTTGGAATATTTGTCGATTACACCTAAAACAAGTGTTTGTTTTGAACAGGAATCAATGGAGAATTACACATGTTGGGATTTATAGCTGCCCAAAATGTATTCTGAATCAGCAAATACTGCTGGATTACAGGGAAAGAAAGGAAAATGGAGATAGTGTTCTTTGATTGTTCTCATTTTATTGCTGAGCGGCGTTCCAACCATGGAGCTGAACTTCAAGACACAGGCCACTAAAACTTCAACTTCTACAATCAGCATGAAACTTTACCACCACTGCAGGATTTATTACTCCATCCTTAAAGGAAAAATCCAGTGATGAGGAACTCGGGCGACTAATAGTAAGACCAGAGCTCAAATTAGAAACCTGCAGGATCATTATGAAAAGGGAAGGTTCATTTTATAATCCCTCTTTCCTGGATCCAGGCTTTTTTCCATTATAAGGGGCTTTTCTTTAATGTTTTAAAAAGGATTTTAAATAACTAAGAATGAAACGTTGGAATGAGTCCTTGCCATGTTATCTTAATGTGTTTTATCAGATGGGCATACAGAGCTTGAACAGAGACTATAGTTGCAGATTATTCTTCACTTTGAGTCAAAGTAAAGCTGCTTTGAAACAGCCAAGGCACTAAAGGAAGGTAAAGAAAATCATAAGTGTAGAAAAGTAACATGTTTTCTAAGTTCAGTGCCAATTAATTATCTTGCATATAAAAATGATTAAAAAATATAATCATGTAGTCATAAATATGGCGAGTGTAAACTCAAGTAAACAACATATGATGTATTACATAATGTCATGATCTTGGTGTTGGTTTGTGGTTTTGTTTATAGTAATCTTTATTTTACTTTATGTTTCAGAGTTGCATTGGAGTTAGTTTTTACTTCTCATGCATTCCATTCATCACTCCTAAGGTCACTCATAAATTACTCTTTTATTTATTGTTTGTTAGCTCCATACTCATCCTGTAGGATCCTCTCTACAGCTCCTCATCAAACAACAGTTCTCTCTTGGGTTTTGCTTTAATGTAGATTTTAAGTCACTCATTTCTACACAATTTTCTGATCAGACCATTGTAGCACTTTTATTTTGTTTCTTTTTCTGCAAGTCTGTTATAAATTTGTTGCTGTTGTTGAGAAAATTGGTATGTTTCACAACCTCATCTGGGCCCATTGTTGGCTGTTGGACAGATAGCTTCACATCTGACTCAAGAATATTTTGGTATACAGAGGAGCTCTTGACTAAATGGCTGCAAAGTGTCCAGATTTTTTGGCTACTAAATGATTCCAAATCATCAACCCTCTAACACTTCAGTATGAGGTGACTGTGCTGATACATGCTGCATTTGGTTTTCATCAATCATGATTATGTGCATTTATGGTTTCTCCACTTTGATTTTGTCTGTCCAAAGAATTGTTCCAAAAGTTTAGTGGTTTGTTAATAAGCTATTTTGCAAACCTCAGTCATGCTGCTACGTCCTTTTTAAAGAGAAGAGGGTTTTTTTTTCCTGGCTCTCCTCCTGAATAAACCATACTTTAAGTTTTTCAAAGTGTACTGCTGTCATGATCTCTAACACGTAACACACCATCTGAAGCCTAAAAGGATTAACATTTAAAATGGATTTTTATCACATGCCAACAAAAGACACGCGTGTGTGTATTTATTGGTTGTCAGGACCATTTTTCCATTACACACCAAATTGTGAGGACCCACTGATAGGGAGACCAAAGCCGGTCCTGATGTGGTCGAATGCCATTTTTGGATTAGGTGTTAGGTTTAGGACTAAGGTGTGAATTGAGGATGAGTTAGGGTTAGGGTAAGGGTCAGGGTTAGCCTATAGTCTGATTTCAGAATTTTTAAGTAATCATTGACTGCATAATGTATATTCACCAACATGATTCAAACTAGCTGCTACAACTAGCTAAACTTTAAAATCACAACATTGACAATAACTCAAATCTACTAACATTGATAACATTGACTTTGGTATGGTTGTAGCTGAGAGTCATTCACAGCACATAGTCCAAGTGATTCTGGTGAAATGTCATTTTCATGGTCGAATGATGACGTCCCTGATCACGTTTCTCTTATCTAACAAAGTAAAGTCAGGTCTTCTGGATGGATTCTTTTTGTTGAAACGTTTAATCTTTATCCAAAAGACTTTGTCAGTCCGAGGAGCCTCATGAACTCTGTCTTATAAACAGCACCTTCTCATAGTGGATCAAGCAGTTTGATGATGACATCCAGAACTAGCTGTTCACATGATAGACGAAACGCGTTTCAAGAAGAATCCGTCCAGAGGACCTGACATTACTTTGTTAGATTTTTCTACCTGGATTACTGAGCATGCATCAGGATATTTTCTCTTATCCTTTCTGATTTCTTTCCTCTGTAGCATTGTGTTTACACCCAAAGGATCTAGAATAACAAACCGCCAAAGCTTTTGTCGTTTTAGATTTCACCCTTAATGATAATTACTTAATCAACTGTATTCAGTTTGCAGTATCAAAAAACTGTCTTATTATTCCAACAAAATAGTACGTTTCCACGCACCGGTCAGATGTTGAAAGGTCTTCATTTCATTATCTAAGGAATTTTTTGCACAAATCAGGCCTAATGCCGTCCATCACTTTATTCAAAACCTGTCGTGTTTTTATGATTGTTGCTTGTTGGTGTGGTTGGTTCACTTTTACCCTTAGCCATTTTCTCTCAGTCACTCTTGCCTTCAGCTAACCACTCTCACCTGCTTCCCATGTCCCAGCTGTTTCCACTTGTAAATCACTCCTCCCAGTCCACAGCCAACAGGCTCCTGCCTTCTCATCAGTCTATCATACTGGTTGTTGGCTCCTGGTTTTCCTGTGTTTGTGTCATCAAGTCAAGCATCTCACGTTTGTCATATTTGTATTTTGTTGGCTGCCCTGACAGTTGTTTTTTATTATTTTATTTTACTTTTTTTAATAAGAAACATCTTAATTCAGTCCTCTGTACTTCAGTCTGCATTTCTGGATCCTAATCCAAACACCCTGACACTTTGTTTAGTTTCTTGTTTGTCTCTTTCAGTACAAAGAGTCACTCTAACTGCAACTTTTTATGATTTTCTGACACGTAAAGGCTCCACCAAATGCTTTCATTAATTGGGTTAGAAATATTTTAACTGGCATTTCATTCATTAATCTCTAACACTTAATGCGTCATCCTTCTGCCAGCACCTTGTTCACCTTCTGCCTTTTATCGAGGCTCTCGAAACGATTGACAGCTGAATATGTTTGCTTGGCAGCAGACACTGGGCAGGATGGCAGTTATTTGCCAATGAACCATTAATCATACAAACCAAGCCTTTCATTACTGAAAAGAACAACATCAGTAGCTGGGAGACTGCAGCCATGGCCAGCTGGGACATACAGAAAGTTGGTTTTACTCAAATATGTGCACTTTTTACTCCTTAAAACAAAACAATTTACTGTTCAGAACTTCAAACTGACTGAATTCACTGTGTGCTCTGTTCATTTTGTAGATGCAGGTGTAGATTTATGGATTTGGTTTGCACTTTTCTTGCTTTCAATCTGTTGAGAAACAGTAACTGTGCTAGTTAAGCCCAGAAGTGACAGACCTCCCCTTTAAGTACACGATGTTTCTACCATTTATCATAACTTCTGTGTTTCAGCTCCAACTGAGTCCCCGCTGACACCTAATCTGGGTGAGTGAGTATTTGATTGCATGTTTATATTACCTTTAATTTCTTATTGTCGTCACAAAGATATTAATAAAAGAGCAGTAATCAGGTATGCTGTGTTTAACTGTGGGCATTTTGGGGACTGTGTGTTTGCAGTGGAGCTCCATGGGAAACATGCTGTGCTACGAGATGATTTTGACTCCAGCAAGCAAGGAGAGCTGGATCCTAACATATGGTGGGTGGAAAAAGTTACAGCTTCTCGTGTGATCTTAGACAACTTGTGTTTCCTGTGTCTGCTGGACCACAAAGCTGGTGGGACTTGCACCATGGTGGACCTGATATTCAACCTGTTGACAAGATCCTGACCAGTTTGCACAACCAGATACAAACATCTACATTTTAGGGTGCAGCTGCTGTCACTTCAGCACTTTTTTCTTTATGTATATTATGTGCTAACTTCAATCTTTTAACTGTGCTCTGTTGACAGGTCGGAGTGCAGTAACTGTGAAGTTGGAGAGCAGTGTGGCGTCCTGATGCACGGCAGAGCAGTCACTTTCTGTGAGCACTTTGGAGAGCGAGAGCTGGTAACTGCCACGTTTGACCACACTCCAACCACTGTATATTTCATGCCCCATTGACCATAAATCCAAACCAGAACCACATCCACAGTGAATTACAACACACTGATTATGTTTTAAGTATCTCCCTGCTGCAGCTCTTCACTTCATGAGATGTTTGATAATGGTAACAAAATGTGTTTGATCTGGTTTTGTAAGAAAATAAATTTCGAAACAAAATTTATCACACACTGCCATTAATTTTTTATCCACTCTGTTTGTGTCCTCTTTATTTGCAAAGTGGATTTCAAAGTGTTTGTTCCTCTGTCGGAGATTAGAGCCAGCACACAGCAGAGAAGAGTTTATTGCCTCGTGATTCTGCTTCCTTCGGTGATAAGCTGTTGCTTTTGTTTGTTGCTGTTCCAGATGTTTTATGCTGCTGCCTGGCAGCTCTTCTGTCAAAACCCATCAACAATACACAAAAATACACACTAAAAAACACATTCAAACAAAGACTGTCTCAAATACTCCATTTAAAAGACAACTCAGCTTTCATCATTTCACTCAATAAACCGTTGTTTTGATAATATGAAGAGAAAAACTGGAGAAAAAAAAAAAAAAAAATTAATAATTTAACCCCCAAATAAATTTTGTTATTGTAGTTTTCTTCTCTGCAGTACTCACATTAAAATGTGTAACATGTAAACTTAAGACATTTATTTAACTCATGATCTCGCATTACTCAGTTAAACAACATCTTTTGATTTTTTTTTCCTCTTACATTACAAAGAAATCATTTCAACTTCAGTTTGATTAACATGCATTAGTGTGAACATAAAAATTCACCCCAATTTCAGCAGTTTGACCTTTTTAAAGGGAAGTTCTGATCTTTTGAAGTGGGGTTCAGTGGAAAGATTATGAACAATCACCACAGAAATCTGTTTAAATAACCTCGAAACCCAAACCTGCTGTCCATTTAAAGTCTATAAAATACAGTTTGCATTAATCTCTATGAAACCTTTGAGATTTGAGTTGTTTTAAGGCAACAAAAAAATCACTTTGCTCTTGGCTTTGGTTGTTAGCTTGTTAGTCTGGTTACAATAATGCTTTCTCCAAACTGGTTTTGGCATAACAATTATCTACAACAGGTAAGATATTGTTCACAACATTTGCACAAAACCCTATTTCTAGTAATGGGAATAGCAGCTCTTTAGGAGCCATTTCAGAGATGCAAGAGACTGAACTTTTTGTTAGCTGAGCCGAGTGATTCCTCTACCTGCTTCAAAACATCTGAACTTTGCTCAACTCTGCTCTAACACCGGTCTAAACACAGCAGCTTCAGCAAACTGGTACTGATGCATAGTTTGTTAGACACCCTTAATCCTCATCATTGGCTCCAACAATTAGTTCAGATTTGATATGATCATTGTCTTTAGTTAATTAATTTTGAAAACCTGTACGTTTGAATCTAAATTTTACAGACTGTTTTGAATTGTAGCTTTTTCAAGGTAGAAACTAATCACCCTTTTTATGTCTTTCAGCACATTAAATGATATGAATATGTACTGAGACATTAAAAATGTTGTGTTGCCTCCTCAGTCTACCGTACCTCTCAACACCAGCACAGCCTCAGTCCTACAGTTTGCCCTGGGTGAGTATTAAGTCTCTACTGGGCCTGCAACAATGCACTGTACGCAGACAAACTTTGTGATGCACATTTACACATCAAACCTTTATAAATCTTGGTTAGATGTAACTGCATCAAACAGGATAAAGTACCTGTTAGTTTATTTGTGAGTAAATTTGCTCGTGCAAACAATATTTTAGATTTTTTTTCCCTTTACCTGTCACAGTATTGAAGGCTGTGGTTTTAGAGTGTTGTTTTTCTTGTCCATTACATCTGTCCAACAGTCCTCAGGGGACAGAGCACAAAGAAAATAAAAATACACAATGCTGTACCTCATGTTTGAAGGTCATTAATGTGAGTTCAGATAATATGCTGTATAAAAAAGTTTAAAAGAGTTGTGCCATTATGTAGCATCAGGTTAATGCATGCTGCATTCAGTGAGGATGGACTCCACGATCACATGGTTGGGGAAGAAGAGGCGTAAATGTTGGGAGGAGCAAGATATGCCTCCATTAGCAGCCTTTGTCCCAATTCACTCTCATAACATAAGACTACATTTAAAAATAGTTCTAATCTCACAATCTTCATAGTGCACAATACTGGTGTGTGGGCAGAGCTGTTGTTTAGGCCTCAGTCTGTCTCTTCACCATTAGCTCCATCATGACATCATTTACAATTTAATAATCTTGGATACTGTGAGTTGGAGGAATCAGCCCAACTAAAAAATACAGAGGATTGTTGTTCTGTGAATAAAATCAGTTGATAAAACAAGGAAACTTTTCATCACTTGAGCAAGTTGGTTCATTGTGTAGCTGTTCTCTCTACAGAGGACACTTATTGATCAAATGTGTCTACCCTTTGTGTTTCCATGCTCCCCAGGCTCGGGCTCCTGCCGGTTCAGTTACTCAGACCCCAGTATCACGGTGTCGTACAGCCTGGGTGGCAACGCCAACACCTCAGATGACTGGATCACACTGGAAAAGATCAGGTCTCTCTCTTGCTCTTTCTCTCCTTGCTTTCTCCTCATCCATCCCACGGTCCTTCCATCTGTTACAAACACCCGCCCTCCCTTTTTCCTCTTCACACCTCCCCCTCTTAATTTGTCATTTCTCTCCTGTTTGTGTCTCGATGCTCCACCTGTTTTTATTCCCTCGTTCCTGGTCTGAGTTTTGTCAGTATTCAAATCAACATGGTATAATGGCACAGGTCTAAATGGAAGGGCTTGTTTGTAAAAAAAAAAAAAAAAAAGAAACACCTGATGTTCACAAGGAGTTATTTTACTCATTTATATTCATTGATGCATGTGTTGTTGTTTCAGAGCTCCTACCAACAGCAGCACAGTTGTCCACCTGCTGCCTCTTTCACATTCCTCCAAAGGTGATGCAGTTCGACTTCGCTGGTCTCAGGAGACCCCCCGTGGACCTGAAGGCTATGAGTCTTGCTGGGGTTTGGACAATGTGCTGCTGGTCAACTCTGCTCACAAAGCCCCGCTGATGGAGGACAACTTGGATCCTCCAGACACAGCTAACTGGCTCTTCTTCCCTGGAGCAACGATCAAGGTGGACGAGTAAACCAGCAAACGATCACACGAATATTACACATTAACATACAGTATTTTCCCCCATAAATGTCGCTCCGTCCTGTAAGTCTCATCAGTCCAAATATGTCCAATAAAGGGGGAAAATCCATAAATACTTCATATACGTTGCATCTATTATGCCTCATCGCTGACAACCCGGAAATATGGGCCGGTGTTGTGCCAAAAATCGATTGGCTGCCAAGTGGCAGCCGTGGGAGCGTGCATGGGATGACTTTAACAAGAATTTAACAAGATTAACACTTAAAAACAATTATTTGTTTGCCCGAAATTATAGTAAAGGTGTGTCTCAATCTAACGTTTGCTTAATAAAAGGACTTTAACAGTCAAATCAGCTGTATTTCAAAAGTATTCGCTGCTTCGGTGCTCCAGGAGTGCACAGACAGAGAGGAAAAAGGAAGGAGGAACACTGTGCATTTCTTCGAAATTTAACAAGATAATCACCTAAAAACAATTGTTTGTTTGTTCATCATTATAGCAAAGGCGTGTCTGAGTTGAACTTTTACTTAATAAATGCACTTTAATGATCAAATTGGCAGCATTTCGCTGTGGCAGTGCAGCGAAATGAAGCTGGTTTGACGGTTGCTCCAAGCAGCGAGCAGAACGAAGGTGGGAGTCTATGCAAGCCTATTGTGTCATTAATAGCTGGTGAAGATTCTCAGTCATCCAGGACATAAACAAGTTCAAGACAAAAACAAGAAAGTATAAAGTAAAGTATAATAAATAAAGTCCAATTGTTTTTGTTCTGTAACTTTTTTGAATTTGCAATTAATAGCCACTTTTACCTATTAGATGATACAACGGCATGCCTTACAACTCTGGTGCCATCTAATGGCAGAAAAATGGTAGTGTTCAATTTTTTCAAAATTAATGAAAACGGTCATATCTTAGCCAAAAGTTGGTTTATAGATATGGGAAAAATCCATAAATATGTCACTTCAGTGTATAAGTCACAGGGCAATCATGCAAAAAACATGACTTATAGGGCGAAAAATACGGCACATGCTAACTGGAGAAAAGTAGAAAGTCCAGTGCCCATATCTGGGTGCAACAGCCACTCTTTTAAAAGAATATAAAAGCAGAATGCAGTCGATCTGCACATAGCTGAAATTCAATAATGGCAATAAAAAACAAATTGCATATTTTGAATCTGCTGCCAGGAGGATCAAAGCAAAAATGTGTCGTAAGACTAAAAAATTCACGTATCTGGAACTTTTTGCAGCAGATAAAATAACAAGACAGGAAGAGGGATCTGAGTGACCTTTCAGAGAGGAGAGACAACACTGCAAGGAAAACAGTTCACCAGAAATCTTTGTAAACCATGACAATTGGAAAACATTATGGATGATTAGGAATAATATTAAATGATTCAGAAAATTCACATACATTTTTGTGCTGCAGAGACAGGTAATTTCTCTTTAAAAATCAAAAACTGGTCCTCTCAGAACCCAAACATGCGGAATGTTAACAGAAAAGATGATGCAAGACAGCTGTAAAGATGCTCTAGTTCCAGCTTAAAAAGTTAAAAATGAAAAGACATTTTTCTCAACTAACAACATTCAAGCTTCTCTGTTGATCCATTTAATATGTCATTGGTGCCATAGCTGATTAAAGTGTTGAAATAATGTGAAACTCATTGCATTCTGGTTTTAAATTTATTTTATTAAACATCTCAACATCTTTTTAAAGGTTGCTAATAAGAAATTTGTTTTTCCGTGTATTTCCTTTGAGCAGCATGCCTGTCAGTCTGAAGGCAATGCTCTGTATTTCCATGGTGCTGATGGAGAAGGCCAGAGCTTTGCCTCCACCAGAGACATCGATCTGCACCGAGAGGAAGGAAGGAGCTACTGGGAGGAAGACTTTGAGAGTCCACCTTTAAAGTAAGTTGAAGTCGTAATCTATCTCTCTCTGGCTGTAAAGTGGAACAGGTAACAGGAAGGATCGTGTTATAGCCGAGCACTGAAATGTAAACATTCACATGATTCTACACCTGTCACTTATCATATGTCTGCTAATGAAACATGCAGCGCTGCGTAAGTCAGGCGTGGGGACTCACACAGGTGAACACCATACCTCCGACTGCTACAGAGATGGAAGTCCATCTGTTCAGCGCACGCACACACATACACACTGGACAGCAAAAAGCTAAGAAGCGCTGTCTGAGGCATTGCATGAGACAGAAAGATAAAAGGAGAGAGATGATGGATGGTATCACTGCCAGAGAGTAATTAACAGGCTTCGTGCACCACGTCTGTCAGTGTGCTTTTCCAATAATGTGAAGGACATCAAACGGAAGCAGGTCTCTGCAGCAGCCACACGCCCTCACTTCTACCCAACATGCTGCTCTGCAGGTAACCCTCCACCAGACAACAGGGACTGACACGTGTTGAAGTAGAAGGGGAAGGTGTCGTGGTGTGGTGGTACGCTTCACTAAAAGTCGGTAAACTCAACTGTTGCTGTGATGGGACACAAAACAAAACAAAGGAAAGGAAATTCCTGTCTGCAGCTGACCTTTGGATGACGGCTCAGACATGGAGGAGCTGAGGGCCGGAGGTTATTCTATAAAACTAACTTGTCCGGTCCAGAGCAGGTCAGGGTTTCACACGGATGAGAGCACTGATAACAGTGTCATCTTGTACTTGCATGTTGTGTGAATGTTGGACTGCTCTCCAAAGCTTTGTAAATAAATCTGATGAACTTAACAGTGGTCTGTTTGGGAATCTCCTTTTTTTCCACGACACAAGTATCTCTACCAAATATTTCACAAAGTTTCTTTGTTTACCAGCAAGTCAGGATTTCTGTCCTCACTTTAGTAAATATCCAGACAGAGATGCCGTGCAGTGCAGTAATCTGTTTATTTTGGGTCATTAGGGATGTGGTGTGATTGATTTCAAATGGTAGTAACCATAGCCCTTCAGTTTTCCAACAGGTTTAGATTTTTATTATGTTTTATCCTTTCCAAGTTGTATTTTTTTTCTCTAAACTTTATGCAAAGTACAACTAAATTAAATATTTTTTAAGGCTTTGAACCATGTATCTGTAGTCGGGTCACAGAGAAACGCATTAGCCTTAATATTATGTTATAATATTATATATGGGGGAGTGGTGGCGCAAAGGTCAGAGAAGATGGGCCTGTGATCGGAAGGTAGCCGGTTCGACTCCCTGGACCGACATCAAAATGCTGGTGGAAAAGGTGAAGCACCCACACCAGCCTCCACCCTCATTTGCCCACTCTGGGCCCTTGAGCAAGACCCTTAACCCCCACCATCTGCTCCCAAAAAACAGGTCCCTCTTGAAAATGAGTCCTCGTGACTCACTGAGACTACCTGTATGAATAAAGGTTAAATTAAAACAAAATTAGTTGTAATTATTTTACATAGCTTTGTTTATAAATGCTGACAAAATTCATTATTTAATTGAGAGTTTTTCTTTATAACTCATATTTAATTCACAAAACCAGCTCTGCTTGTGCTCGTGTGTTTTGCTCAGCTGGGACGTAGAGGGAGCTGTGTACGGGACAAAGTGTGGAGAGATTGAGTCAGGTGCAGCACTCGTATTTGAACGGGAGGGTCGGAGGAGGGTGTGCACCCCCTACCTTGACACCACATCCTATGGAAACCTCCGCTTCTACTTTACAATGGGTAAAAACATCTTGGGTCTTTAATTTTGAGACGTATGTATGTATGATAATCTTGCTCTTTTTACAAGCGTGTAAACGCAGTTAGGTGCGTTTTTTTTTTTTTTTTTTTTTTTTTGTGCAGGAGGTGGTGACTGTGATCCAGGAGAATCACACGAGAACGATGTGATCCTGTTTGGAAGGTCCGAGGGCAAGAGGGAACGTCTAGTGCTGGACACTCTTCCATACATGTCTTACAGGGTGAGACATATTCACAGCAGATAAATCAAATGAAAATCAAATCGATTGATATTGATTATAAGAACTGTTCCTTCTTTGTGGTTTTCAAGGCACTTATACTTAATATGTTAACTTATTTACATTTATTGTCTGAATTGTTTTGTTAGGGCCAAAACTGTTAACAGTTAAATTAGTAGCATCTGTTCTGGGTCAAGCAGATTAAATACAGTAGTCCCTCACTACTTCACACTTTGTTTATCGTGGACTTCCTCTGTTGCGGTTTTTCAAAATAAGATTGGACATGACACACAATTGGCTGACTGATGGATGAGCCGCACGATCGGCATGAAATTATTATTTAAAATACATTATTTGAAATTATTTAGCATCTGCTGCCCCTTTATGCAGCCCACACTGCAAGATAAACTTCCTGCTGCAGCTGATCTCTGTGCATGATCAGCTGTTCACCGTGCAGAGCGGAGAAGTGGGCGTGGCCAAGAGCACTTGCACGTGGCAAAGAGCATACGAGGCAGAGTGCTGAAATCATGACACTCTGTGCTCTTTTAGAGCGTTTAGAGTTTAGAAACATCGTTTAGAATATCGCAAGAGTGTGGGAAGGGTTTAAAACACCTTTATATATATATATATATATATATATTACTACAGGGGCAGCACGGTGGCGCAACTGGTAGAGCTGCTGCCTCTCAACGAGCAGGTCCCTGGTTCAAACCCCGGTCCAGGGGCCTTTCTGGGTGGAGTTTGCATGTTCTCTCCGTGCATGCGTGGGTTTTCTCCGGGTACGCCGGTTTCCTCCCACAGACCAAAAACATGCATGTTAGGCTGATTGGTAACTCTAAATTGTCTCTAGGTGTGAGTGAGAGAGTGAATGGTTGTTTGTCTCGTTTGTCTCTATGTGTCCCTGTGATGGACTTGCGACCCGTCCAGGGTGTCCCCCGCCCCTCGCACAGTGATTGCTGGACATGGGCACCAGCGACCCCCATGACCCAAAATGGAATAAACGGGTAAAGATAATGGATGGATGGATGGATGGATGGATATATTACTACTTGTCCTAGTATTCCTACTTTGTGGTTTTTCACTTGTTGGGGGTATTCAGGTTACGGATCCCATGCCATAAATGAGGGACTACTGTAATTGATTTAACTAAACTTAAATTCTTTTAAATTGATTATTTCTGCCGTTATTACATTTTATAATCTAAAGAATTCGTTCACTGAATAATAACAGACTGAACCTCTCCTCTGTCTCGCTCTAACTTCATTCTTTCCCAGACTCCTGCCGTAGTGTCAGTTGCACTTCCAGCCGAGCTGCAAACGCCGGTCACCCAGTTTTGTTTGGAGCAGCAATCACATGGTGGCGCTGATCGTCACGTGTGGGCTGTGGATTACATGCAGCTGCTCCCTGTGCTGCCTGCCACCCACACGCATGTTGCACAGTTCTCCATCAACCTTGGCTGCGGCTCCTACCAGCCTGCCAACAGGTATGGCGCTTCATCACGATGGTCTGACATTAAAATAATAATAATACTTTATTTATGAAGCCCTTTAAAATAACCACAGCTGCCACAAAGTGCTGTACATATAAAATCAAGAACATTTAAACACATAAAACAGTTGTTAAAACATTAAGATAAAGTTTGAAGTTCACTTTAAACAGCTACAAGAAACATTAAAAAACCGAGATGCTTTAAATAAGATCTGCTTTGTTTCTTTCCGTTAGCGTAAGCCTGGAGTTTTCTTCCAACCTTGGTCGTTCCTGGTCTCTGCTCCACACCGAGTGCCTGCCGGAGCTCTGTGCCGGACCACACCTACCACACAGCACCATCTACTCCTCTGACAACTACAGCGGGTACAATTACCTGTTCACTTCCATACATGTGTATCACATTGTATAGTGTTTGGTTGTATTAACATGCTGTATTTGTCCCTTCAGATGGACCAGAATTTCTATTCCTCTTCCAAACGCTGCCCTCACAGAGACGACCCGGTTTCGCTGGAAGCAGTCTGGCACTGGAGCAGGCAACATGTGGGCCATAGATAATGGTGAGAGCTCCAGATGCACTTCCAATGGTTCCATGTTTGGATCGAGTCTTCATAGTTTTTCATTATAGGATCTAAAAATACTTTGTACATCAGAATACCTTGTAGAGCAGGGTCTACCATGGAGCAATCAAATGTGTATAAAATATGTTGAAATTATTAGATAGTTGTAGGGACATAAATGTCTTTATATTGTTTCTGCAAATATGACTGCTGGTTTAATAATGTTTTGGTCACTGTAAATAAAATAAAGCAACCAGGTGTACATAACCCTATGATATGAATGCACAGTACTGTATGTACTATACAAAGTGACATACTGTATGTCATAAAAACACCACTCCTGATACCTATATCCAGATGTTCCATTCAGTAGATCTCTATTATTTATCCTGACAAGACAACAAACTGTTCAGATCACAAGTACTTTATTAAACCTTAATGCACAAACATTTTTTTGTTGTAAATATCTTCAGTATCATTGTTTTGTTTCAGTGTACATTGGGCCGGCTTGCCTTCGGTTCTGCTCTGGAAGAGGACATTGTTCCCGCACAGGCTGCAAGTATGGATCTACTTTTTATTACTTTAAAACATTTTAAAGTGAGAGTTTTAATAACTAATGACCACCTATCAAAATTTATCAAATTGTATTATTTTTCTGATTTACTGGTGGATTTTCATTATCCCAGCCATTTTTCTTATTTATATACTTTCTTATCTTTTTAATCTCTCCTCTGCTTTTCCACCATGCAGATGTGACCCGGGCTTCAGCGGTCCAGCTTGTGAACTCGCATCTCAGACATTCCCAGCCTTCCTGTCGGAGGGTTTCTCTAGTCCACGTCTCTCCTCCTACCACAGCTTCTCTTCGCTTCGTGGGGCAGAAGTCAGCTTCGGCTGCGGCGTGCTTGCCAGCGGCAAGGCTCTGGTCTTTAACAGGGACAGCCGGAGACACTTGGTCACCGCTCCGTTAGACAGTTCACAGGCCAGGTAACTTTAGAGCTGCAACAGACTGGAGGAAAATGTCTAAACAACCTTTGGACATGAATTAATCATTACAGCATGACTGGTTTTGAAAATGTTCCAGCCATCCATTTATTATTTTACTTGTTTCCTTCTCATACTCTGTTCATATGCTCAGACATGTATTGTGTTCTTGGCAAGAGCTTCAGATGAGAGAATGTGTTAAAATGTGGGAGATTTAAAGCCATTAATGATATTAGCTCTGTGTTCTTCCCACTGCAGATATTTCTCTCTTTCATCCACCTTTTTGCAATGGTTGAGTGTCAGTTATTTACCATTTTAAAGCTGTTTTGCCTTCTCTACTTTTATATTTCCCACTCTTTTTTTTAACTTGTGACTTGACTAAACCACCTTTCCTTTCAGAATGTCCTTCCATTGCTCTTTTCCTAATTTATTTTTGGCTATGGTTTTCTGCAGGTACCTACAGTTCACTCTACGACTGGGAAGTCGTAGCATCCTGAGCTCGTGTCCTGCACCTGATCAGCCTGGAGAGGGCGTTCTGTTGCATTACTCTGCAGACAACGGCATCACCTGGACTCTGCTGCAGCACTACGCCTACCAAGGCTTCCACGAGCCAAGGTAACTTCTACACCCGGAGCATGTGTGCTTGTTGTCAGTACATGTGTCTTTATGTACACAGCCTTGTATAGTTATGAGCCTATGCAGACAGTGGCCCCACTGAGACAGTTAATGTGTGTAATAACAACAAAGTCAGTAATGCTCCACCGTGTTTGTCTCTGAGACCTTCATCGGTGTTAGAAAGTTTAACAGTAAGTGTCAGAGGCACTGATCAGGTGGAAGATGCATGTACACAATGATGCTGTACAAACACGTGAAACAAAAGTCAGTGTTGGTGCAAGACAAACCTTCTCTGAGGCGTAGGTGAAGAGGAAAAATAACAGCAACACAAGACGCTGTAGTGATGAGTTCTGGTTGTACTGCATTATGTCAGAGCCAGTTATAAATGTTTTTCAAATGTACTTTAATTACAAACAGCAGAATGTGTTTGTGTATGATTTCGGTCTAACTCAGACCTTGAGTCACTGTTCAGTCAGCCTGTGTGAATAACTGCTTGGTTTACACTGTATGTGCATAAATTGTGTGTTTTAGTGCTTCGATGCTTGTCTAATTGTTTATGTGAAACGTACTCTTCATGTCACACACTTTTTGAGATGTTACAAAAAGATGATGGATGTATATCATAATTAGGTTTTCTCATTGCTCCAGAATAAGAATTTGTGTTTTTGTGTTTCATTCATTTCTTAAACGTATTTGTAATTTTCAACGTCCATTCTTTGTCTCAGAACAAAATTCTCAATTTTCGTCTTTTTATCTAAACTGCATTCAGGGTTTGAAAACTTGAAACTAATTTAGGGTCTGAATCACTCGGGCTGGGCTGTGCCCTCTTTGAGGTATTGCTCATCAATTACCACCATCATCTTCCTCTTTTTAAGAATGTTATATTCAAAACAAGTGCTAATGACGTGCTGGCATAAGCACTCCCATCAAATTTAGCACGTGTGAGCAATTTGGCCTTTTGGAGTTAGATTGCTGTTTTCCTCACGGCACAATTTAATGACTTTCTGCCACAAACACAGCAGGCATAAAAGTGACAGAAAGAAATAAAAAAGTTCCCTGGCATCAAGCTGCTGTTCCTCATGGATGATGTGTAAGGTGCTACTCAAACTGCAAGAACATCTTGATGTAGGCCATAAGGAAAGAATTGTGTTCACACAACTAATAACTGTTAAAGGATCATTTTATGTGTCATAAACTGATACGTTTAGGGTAAAATGTAATTATTGAGGCTACAAATTTACAATGTCAGACTGTTACATGTCCTGACTTGTGGCTGTCCGCAGTGCAGGCCAAGTGCAATGCACAATGAGGATAAATGTTTTTTCCAGATTTAATAACTTTGATACATTAGTTGTGAGCTGTTGAAATGCTCCGTAAACATTTGGAATTTTCAGTATAAACAATAAAACAAAGAAAATGTACATTTTTGTATATGTACGTTAGGGAGTATTTTCAGCATTATCAGACAAACTGTAACGATTGCGCCTATACACAGATATAAGAACCAATGAGAACAGAGATCAAGACTCACAATGAATTTACAGTGTTTATTTACGAGTGATAAATAATGCAGTAAACCAGGGAGGGGACTGGAGCCCTGCAGAGCAAAGGGGTGAGTAGAAATATTGTAGTCAAGGGTGATAATGTTATTGCTGAGCTTCCTTACAATGGAGGTCGGGGTCAGGCGTGGGGAAGGCTGATCCAAATTGTTCCAGGTTGAAGGAGGTGTACGTCTGGACGATGCAGGCATTAAGCAAATGTTAGGAAGGTGTGGCGGCATCTGATGAGGCACAGAGGAGCTCGAGGTCCACAGAGGTGGATTCAGGAAACAGGGGGAAATCAAGGGTAACTTACTGGAGGCACGGAGGGAAATAAAATCATTATTACTTGGTTTTAGACACGAGTAAAAGGCTAGAACAAGACTACCATTTGTAGGCGATGCTCCAGCATTGACTGAATGTCTTCTGCAGCCTTTTATGCTCCTCATGCTCATCAAGTCGATGATCCACAGGTGCAGCTGATTAGAGTCTGGCTGAGCAGAACTCCCACACAAACATCTCATTTCTTGAAGAGATGTTGAATTATAATTGTTGATAAGGCAGATTTTCCTTTAAACTAAAGCATAAAAGCTCTTGAAATAAGATATAAAGGCGTTGTATAAGTACAGTCCATTTACCATTTAAATGTTGACAAACTGTCAGTAAAGAAGAAATGCTGTTAGCCGGCAGCACAGTTTGAGGTGCATATCACATTTATAAAGACTTTGTGACTTTAACATGTGGTCACTTCTGATGTTTGTGGTTTACTTTGTTTTCATGGTAACAAATTCACACAGCCGTGTAGTAAATCAGGCCCTTGGTCTGGTTTGTTGGTGCCTTTCGTCAGAGATTAACCAAAGTTTGCACATCATGTCACAATTTTTATTCTGTATAATTTCATATCCCTGCTTATTTGAATGATTTTTATCTCTCAATCAGGATTGTGTCAGTTGAACTCCCATCGGGCGCTCGTAAGTTTGGCGTTCAGTTCCGCTGGTGGCAGCCATACCACTCTGGACGCAGTCACGACGTGTGGGCTTTGGATGAAATCAGCATGACCTCTGTGCTCTTCAACACCATAAGTCTTGACTTTAGTAATGTTCTGGATGTCACTCAGAGTCTTGGGTTCTTTCTCGGACATGTTCAGCCTTACTGCCAACATGACTGGACCCTCAGGTAACCAGTGCTCATACACAACCTATGTTGTTCACATCGTTTGGAATTAGCATTGTGACTTGAATAATTTCAATAAAAGTTTTGAATTTTGTGAAACCAACGTTGGCATAAAAACACAGGAAGTTAAAAGTTTGTGTATATGATAGCTTTATCAATGTTTCCTACATCTGACACAGTGTGATACCTTCCCTTTGTCCATGTTAAACCAGTTTCTCTGGCGAGCCCAGTCCTGGCTCTAGTATCCGTTACGTTGAGACTCAGTCGATGCAGATCGGAGCGTCCTACAGTCTGCAGTTCTCTCTCGTCATGGGCTGTGGCCGTGAGCCCTCCCCTCACATTGACACTCAAGTCCGTCTGGAGTTCTCCACTAATCACGGGCTCACCTGGCACCTGGTCAAAGAGGTAAATGTTGTTTTACATGATCTTCATTTGTGACTAAATCTTTTAGTAGTTATCCTGCAGAGAGACACGGAACCACATCATTTATTCATAATCATGAATATTAATTTACCCATTACAGCCTCTGTGATAATATGTAAATAATGTGCCTAAATGTGGTAAATTGTTTCAAATGACAAATCATTTCAATTAGTTTTAATTACTTTGCTATCAGCAAATGTGTGGATGTACTTGAATCAGCAGGCCGATTATCTTTTTATGATTTGGCTAAAATTTTCTATAATCATAGCAAGCTCATGAATATTTAGCAGGCACCAAAGATTTGTCAAATTGTTTTATTACTTTTGGAGCTCAATAGGCCATAATGACTCCTCCATCAGTGAATTTTCTCTAATTCCCCCTTGGTCATAAAAAAAGCAGTCATCTGGCCAGTGTAGCTCTCTAAACGTTTAGAGTTAATCCTTGTTGATTTTTCTGTTTTCAAGGTCAGAAATATTGAAATACTGCAACTGTTGTTTCAATGTGAACATGTTTACTGTTTAATGAAGACTTTTCTGTGCTAACTGTGAGAAAGTAGTTTTCAGGAATGTGCTTTTAGCCAGTAATAGAAAAGCCTTATCACAAAGAAAGGGATGTTTTTTTATTTATTTCCAGGCTTGTCTTCCTGGCATGCCCAGCTGCTCTGAGTTTACAGCTCCCAGCGTCTACCACCCATCAGAGTTCAAAGACTGGAGACGTGTTACTCTGTCTTTGCCTCAGAAGACATGGTGAGTAGCAAACGTTAGAGAAGAGAAGATGCCAAAGTTGCCCTTTGGTATCAAATCTTCCCTGATCCTAGCATTTCACTGATTAACAAGGAAAGGTTTGCTTGTAATGCAGTTCGGTCCATCACATAAAAGCAAACGCAGAGACTTTAATAAAACATGTTTTTTGTTGTTTGGTATTTTGCAGGGGGTGTTAGTGGTAAATGTATTTGTCAGTACTCATGGTGGTACTGACACGAGGCATTTCATTTGGCTTACAAGTTTCTTTTGGACAAAACATTATTAGATTGAATAAATAGTTAATGCATTTTTAACATCTGTAATAATTAATCTGTCCCCATGTAGCCAACAATATAGATTAATATAATCTTACAGCCTCGACCCATACATAGATCATCTGAAATAATCACATAAACCTTTAACACTGGGACCTCCAAACACATTTCATTCTACCACCCCAGCTCCTAAATAAAGGTGGTTCAATTTCCTGGAGAGTACAGTGACAGGTCGGGAAGGGGGTCATGGCCTTTGATGACAATAAAACAGTCAAGACCACGTTAAATAATCACTGTCGCCTGATTTGTGTCACCAAAATAAAACCAGGGGACCTCAGTGGTGTATATTTTTTATTATACACAACTTTTTGTTAGCTTCTGCTGCTATTCATCATTTCTGTGCTGTTGCTAACAGCAGCCACCATCAAATTGTGTCCAATATTGCACAATATTTGCATCTTTGACATTTTTGACTCAATTCAACTACATTTCACATTTAATAGACAATCTTGAAACAAACTATGAAACTGCAGCAGGATGATTTACTGGAAAATCTAGCATAAATTACTCACAAAACATGCATGTTAGGCTGCCTTGACGCCCAGGCTTCCCTTGCAAAAGACATCTGTGATCTCAATGGGATTTTCCTGGTTAAATAAAGGTTAATAAAATAAAATAATAAAACTTTATTCATCAGAGTTTATCTTTTGAATTTTTATCAAGAATGAACTTGGTTTTTAAGCTTCCAAGGTGCTGCCGTTGTTCTTATCTTTGATGTTTTAAAGTTGTAACTTATTTAACTTTTTTTTTTGGAGTTAAACTGTGTCTTTCTTTTGTGCTCAGGTCCAGTGCAACCCGTTTCCGATGGATCCAGAGCTACTATGGAGAGCAGGACGAGTGGGCGTTGGACGACATCTACATCGGTCAGCAGTGTCCCAACATGTGTCATGGACACGGCTGGTGTGACCACGGTCACTGCAGGTCACTTCTTCCACCTGGACTCATGTTTCTGACGTACAGTTTGAATAAGTAAGTGAATCTAAGCCTTGTTTTTCTTACAGGTGTGATGATGGGTTCTCTGGTCCAGACTGCCAGCCATCCTCCCCTCTCTTGTCTGGCGTGCTCTCAGACTTTGAGTCCCAGGATGCACTGCTGGCCACATGGCAGGAGGTGATTGGTGGAGAGGTGGTTGCCCCTGATATGGGCTGTGGCGTCGTCTCATCTGGATCATCCCTGTACTTCAGCAAGGTAGAGGAAATATCAAATGAAAGTAGCACTCCTTGGCAAAATGCATTTCCCTTGCCGTCTTGCCTGCCCAAGCTTCAAACAAAGAGCTCATGAGATCTGTTAATGTTGCATGTGAGGAATAGCACTTTGATAACAGTTACTGTTTTAAATGTGCTATATAAATAAATGTGACTTGACTTGACTACCTGTTAGCTAACGCCACGCCAACACTTATATCACAATGCCTAACACTGATTGAGTTAAAATCATTTTCATGTTTGTTATGGTCACTTAGCTGTAGTTATCTGGAAGTGGCATAACTCAACACTTGGTCAGTTGCAGATGTGTATTCAGTGATTACCTTCTAAGAGTTTCAGTAAACGTTTTAGATATTCTTAGAGATGTTTTGCTAACTGACAGAGTTGACTACCAATAGTGACTGCCAAAGTTTTAAACAAAGCTCTCATGCAATCTGTTTTCACTTGAAGCCACCCCCACAGCAAATTTTAACTCAATACCTGTACAATTTATTGCGGTGTAACAACTTCTGCGTTGGTCTGGGTTGATTTGCTGTGGTGGCCATCTTGAATCAGGTTGACTCCACAAATTGAAGAGTTGTAGAGGTACATCCACTGTTTACTTCATGAGAGTTTCTTTAAAAAAATCTTTAGTTCTCGGGATATTTTGCTAACAGACGGACAAATGGTCACACGTACACACTAGTAATTACACAACCGCCCATCTTTCATGACTGCAGGGTATAAATACCCTTTGTCAAAAAATAAATAAATGAAATGTTCACTTGCAATTGAATTATTGTGTTAAATTCAGTAAGCAGTTGAGAAAAAAAGTTTGACCTAAAAGAAAAAAAGGCATGCAAAGCTTGTCATTGTCCGTGTATATTTTGGCATACATTTGTACTCAAATCAACCATGTGGTTAATTTGTGTTTTTAAAGCAAACAGTTTGAGAAGATTGTGCAGACTTGGCTGAGGTAGGCGTTTGATTACAGTCTAGTGTCTGCTGCCAAAACCTGCTGCCCTTTGAACTCCGAATCAGCTCTTCCCTGAAAGTGCAGTTCATTATCACTCTATGTTCATTTGTGTGATTGGAATAGGGAGGAGCAAAAACCTTGAAGCAGCTGCACATCTGTGGTCACATTTTGTTGCAGCATTCAAGTTAATACTCACAGCTGCTACTACCTCTCGGTAGAGAAACAAACTATCCTTATTCAAAGTTTGTTTAATTCAATGAGTTTCCATTTAAAAAATATCTGAAATAAAAATAAAAAACAGAATGCATGTAATCCTTTGTCACAGGATAGTAACAAGCTTTTCATTGATGGTCCCAGACTTCATACTATATAAATGTGTGTGTGTATTATTAGGCTGGACTGAGGCAGCTTGTGAGCTGGGACCTGGACACTGAATGGGCGGAGTTTGTCCAGTTCTACCTGCGTGTGGGAGGAGACTGGTCAGATTGTAACCAGGCAGACAGCAGAGAGGAGGGAGTTCTGCTGCAGTACAGTAATGATGGAGGCATCAGCTGGGGTCTCATAGCTGAGATGTACTTCACAGACTTTACCAAACCTCGGTAAGAAACTCCTGTAATAGGAAAATATCTATGGTAAATGAACATTTTAGGAGTGCAAGATCTGATTTGTATGGTTTTCCTTTAATTGCTTTTACAGCTTTGTCCATTATGAGCTCCCCTTGGCCTCCAAAACCCCCTCCACAAGGTTTCGTTGGTGGCAGCCTCTTCACTCCGGAGAAGGCTATGACCAGTGGGCAATTGATGATGTCATAATTTTATCAGAGAGAGAGAAACACATTATTCCCATGGCCAGTCCAACTCTACCACAGGTCAGTTTGCGGAAGTGCTTTCTTTTCTACAACTTGTGATTTGTGTTGTAGGTTTGGCTTTTCCATGACACCATTTCATTCGCTGTAATAGAAAATGTCAGCCAGACTATGATAGGATAGCTAAATCCTAAACCCCCTCCTTAAATGCATCCATTTATTATGAGTTTGATCCACTTCTGCTGACATTCATACATATCGCCACAAAACACGACAATAAACTGCTGTTTTGTCCGTACAGAATTTTTATGAGAAGCCAGCGTTCGACTATCCTCTGAATCAGATGAGTGTTTGGTTGATGCTGGGTAATGAGGGCATGGAGAGGGACAACAACAACAGTTTCTGTGCGCCGACACCTTCTGCGATGGTGTTTGGACGTTCTGATGGAGACAGGGTCGCTGTGACCAGGGACCTGGCCCTTCGTTCGGGTTACACCCTTCAGTTTAAGGTAGGTGGGAATTTCTGAAAATAAAGAATGTATAAAGCCGCTTAATACCAAACTGAATTAAAAAAAATCTAAATACATTTTTAATACATCATCTTCATTGGTTTATGGCCCTTTCCATTCTGCCAGCTAAACATTGGCTGTGAATCAGAATTCAGCACGTCCGCCCCAGTCCTGCTGCAGTACTCACATGATGCTGGTCGCACCTGGGCCCTGGTCAGAGAGGGCTGTTACCCAGGAACCCCTGGGGCAGGGATCTGTGAGGGCAGCGGCCGTGAGCTCAGGGAACCCACTGTCTATAACACAGGGGACTATGAACAGTGGACAAGGGTCACTGTGGTCATCCCTCGTCATGTTGCAGCCAGGTATCTATGGTAACAAGCATGTAATTGCATCTGAACATGTGCATTACTTTATATAGCACAAGTGAAATGATTCACGTTATTGTTAAATATCTTTCCTTTTCACTTCCCAGTAAAACCAGGTTCCGTTGGTTCCAGGAGAGCAGCATGTACCGAGATGCACCACCATTTGCTTTGGATGGGGTCTACATCTCTGAGCCTTGTCCGAACCACTGTGGGGGGCATGGTGATTGTATCTCTGGAGTCTGCTTCTGTGATATGGGGTACACAGGTAGTGTAATGAACAGCCAATGAAGTAAAACTGATGTTAAAAAAAACATTTATATGTAACTCTATAAATCTTCCTTTATGTTATACAGTGGAGCAAGATAGTTGTGTCCCGTCCACAGCCAGTCCTACAGAGCTGACTGAGGGCTTTGAAGGGAAGCTTAGTCCACTCTGGCAGAGCATCAGTGGGGGACAGATTGGAGGAGGTTGTGGCATCATTGGTGAGGGCAAAGCTCTGTACTTCAGTAGCCCTGGACGGAGAGAAGCTCGAACTGTGCCGTTAGACACAACTAACACCCGGTGAGAGGAATACTCAAAAAATGTAACATATTTAAGCATTGTGGTGAAATGTCAGGTCTCTCTTGTAAATGAGTCCCCAAGGCTCAATGGGACTAACATGTATGAATAAAGGTTGAATGAAAATTGTTGCATCTGAAAGCCAATTTTTACAACTGTTTGTACACAGGTTGGCTCAATTCTACATCCGGATTGGCAGCAAGAGTTTGGGACCCACCTGCACTAGGCCTCGCTCGCGCAACGAAGGTAATTTTTAAACCAAACTGTGTTGAAGCAAACTGCTGGATCCATGTTGGTGTCACTGAAGAGTTTGTTTAGCGTCAAAGACCTGACCAGCTTATAGCCATGTTTGGCTGTTAGTTCTTTATTTGCTCATACTTTAGTAGAGATTGGATTTTTTTTTTCTTTTTGTATAAACAGTATTCTCCCAGTCACCTAAAGAAGACACTTTTTGTGCGTCTACAGGTGTCCTTGTCCAATTTTCAACAAACAACGGTGTTCGGTGGCAGTTCCTGAGGGAGCTGGACTTTAGTTCCTTCTTGGAGCCTCAGGTGGTGACCATCGAGCTGCCACCTCCAGCGAAAACTCCCTACACCGTTTTTCGATGGTGGCAGCCACAACAAGGTTAGTGAACTCCTACCAAAAACACACAGTATGATAAAAACTTCACTATTATGCATCAATTTTGACAGATTTTTTTCTTCCTCTACCTTGTAGGGAAACACTCTGCCCAGTGGGCTCTGGATGATGTCCTGATTGGCATGAATGACAGCTCCAGAACAGGTTTCCATGACAAATTTGATGGCACGACCCCTCTGAGACACAACTGGTACCGTATTCAGGGCGGAGAGGTGACCGTGGACTGTTTGTCTTTGGATACAGCACTTACCTTCAACTCTGAGGCTATTGATAGTAAGTGAAAGAAAACTTTCTCACTGAAGCTGCTGTGACTACAGGGTAGCACAATGGTGTATGACCCCCCCTTAATGTATTTGTGTATTCGTTTTTTGTCTTTGAACAATTTGAAAAGCACAATTTTTAAAGGACCTGGTATGATAAAAAGGACTTAACATAAATCAAAATGGAAAGTTTCTCACAGCTTGCGTTTTATACCAGTGTTATACAAATCATGAAACTCTGAAATAATGTGAATATACTGCTTTTAAATGCATACATATAGGCTCAAGCACATGTAATATACCATGAAAGTACTTTATATTCAGTCAAAATGTTTACACAAACCACACAAGTGGTTGTACAGAAACATCACAGCCCCACAGTGTTAACCACAAGCTGTAACTGAATCTCCAATTTACTGTGCTGCCATGAGTCTTGCATTATTAATGAGAGCAAATCTGAGTGAACATCCTGCCTTTTATTTATGCTCGCATCAAGCTGTGAGTGGATTAACTTTGTGCTAATAGTACATCACAAAGGGGCCATTCCTTAAGTGTGCACAGCATGAACGATTTGGCAGCACATCTGTAAACAAGAGGACTCCTGCGTGTAAACATGAAGGGCAGGCTCATTGGTTCACACTGAAACGTGATTATTAGACACAGAACTCAGTAGGATATTTTACTTTGAAGGGCATGTGTTTAAGAATGCATTATGAATACAGTAGAAAATGGCTGGGTTTAGCTGTAAATCCAATCATTTTATTCTTGGTTTTGATTGATTCAATAATGTGCTCTTTCTGCTTTGTTAGGTTGTAGTGAATGTGAAAAATGTTGTCTGTGACTGTGCTTGCAGAGAAGCCAAGGTATGCAGAAAGCTGGGACTTTGAGGTGACAGGTTCATCATTCCTGCAGTTTGAGCTGAGTATGGGCTGCAGTAAGTCCACCTCCTTCTCCCACGGAGTGCGACTGGAGTACTCTACAGACTGTGGCCGTCACTGGTCTCTCATCACCCCGGAGTGCGTGCCCCCAGCCATCGGCTGTGCCGGTTACACCCAGAGCTCCATCTATACATCGACCCAGTACAAACACTGGAGGAGGATCACTGTCTACCTGCCCAGCGCTGCTAAGTTTGTGCCTTTGTCCTTAGAAAAAATAGATTCATCTATAAATGTATACATTTTAAATGGTACTGTTCTTAATGATGTGATGTTGAATCCTTTAGTTCCCCAAGAACACGGTTCCGTTGGATTCAGACCCACTTCACCCCTGGGGCGGAAGGTTGGGCTCTGGATAATGTGTTACTCGCTCCTGGTTGCCCATGGATGTGCTCTGGACATGGTCTGTGTGACAATGGACGCTGTGTGTATGTAAAAACTGTTCAATTTAAGCCTTGGTTCATTTTTTCCAAAATCCTTTAGGTTCAAGTAACTGTTTTTCACCTGTGCATTTACTTTTGTTCTTCCCCAGCTGTGATAAGGGTTATGGAGGGGCACACTGCGTACCTCTGGCCCCACTGCCATCAGTACTGAGAGAAGACTTCAATGAGAACCTACAGCAGGAAACCTGGCCAGAGGTGTACGGAGCAGAGAGGGGAACTCTGAGTGGAGAACCTCTCAAATTCGGCGCTGCTCTTATTTTCAAAGGGGTGGGGGTCCTAAACTCAAGCAGAGACCCGTGACAATGGAAGTTACACAGCTAAATCACAAGAACTGATTCATTCTTTGTGTTTGCAGGATGGTCTGCGTATGATTGTGTCGAGGGATCTGGACTGCACAAACACGCTCTACATCCAGTTCTTTTTTAAATTCATCACTAAAGGTACTTGACGTTAGTCCTCTTTGGTTTAGCTGTGTGTGTTGTATCTTTCTCCTCACAGTCTGGTGTAACAGTTCTCCCTGTTTCTAGGTGTCCCAGAGCGCTCCCACTCGGTGCTGCTGCAGTACTCTGTGAATGGAGGGATCAGCTGGCTACTGCTGGATGAGTTTTACTTCCCAACTTCCACAGACACCCTGTTCCTTCACCTGCCGCTGCCCGCCAGCGCTCAGACCAACGCCACCCGTTTCAGACTCTGGCAGCCTTACAACAGCGGTGAGTGGACACTTGAGGAGAAAATTTGAAAAAAGTTTTTTTTCTCCACTTCTTACCAATAAAATATGTTCTTGCACGTTTGTTGTCCTGCAGTCTCAACCACTTTAGACCCGACTCCTTTTTTATATGTAAATGTATCAACAATATTTGGTGCTCTAGGTAAAAAAGAGGAGGTGTGGGTGATAGACGATCTCATCATCGATGGTAGCTCTTTACACAAACCTCCCGTGGTGATTGACACGTTTGAGGAAGGTCCCAACGAGCCAAACTGGCTCTTCTATCCTGGTGGAAACATTGGACTCTACTGTCCCTACCAGAAGACTGGCTTGTAAGAAAAACCCTACCTGCAAAAAACTATTACACTGCTGTGACTGTGTTTCTGTCATAATCCACAAACTTACTGAGGATCAAATCTAAAAAAAAGAAGATATTTATAATGTGTGTGTGTGTGTGTGTGTGTGTGTGGCTGATGCAGAGAGGAGGACGAGTCAGCGATGGTGTTTGTCTCCAGTGAGCTTGGGGAGCACTCCATCACCACCAGGGACGTTGACGTAAATGAGAACACCATCATCCAGTTTGAGGTACACGGGGAACATTTTGAAGCAACCATCTTATTCAACACAAAGACGGGCTTTAATTCCATTTTTATTGTGTATATTTGCGTCTTAAGCTCAATGTGGGCTGCACAGCTGAAAGCTCCTCTGCCCACCCAGTGCGACTCGAGTTTTCACGGGACTTCGGTGCCACATGGCACCTTTTGGTACCCCTGTGTGCTGGCGGTCCTCAGCCCTCGTCACTTTGCTCCACAGAGCTTCACCCTGCCAGCATCTATTTCCCTGGTACCACGCAGGGCTGGAGGAGGGAGGTTATTCACTTTGGAAAGCTTCGCCTGTGTGGGTAAGGAGCACGTTCTGTACCACTGCTACACAAATAAAATAAACTTTAAACATCTGTTTTAATACCTTAACATGTTTCTATTAATATTTATTTTATTGGCTTTTTTTACTTAAACACAGATCAATAAGGTTCCGTTGGTATCAAGGTTTTTTTCCAGCTGGTTCCAATCCTCCAACATGGGCACTAGATAACGTGTATATCGGCCCACAGTGTCAGGACATGTGTAATGGTCATGGGGCCTGTGTGGGAGGATCTCACTGTGTGTGTGACCCTGGATACTCTGGACCTGACTGCTCTTTGCCCGACACCCCCAATCCTGACTTCCTCAAGGAGGACTTTGAAGGTACAAAGGGAATGAATCTCTTTATGTGAACATTGTGGAGTTCGTGTTGCAAGGCCTTTGCAGCAAAATTATTGTTTTTAATATTTTAAATGCTAAGCTAGTTCAGCACGTTTTAAATTAGCTAGATTTTTTTTCTATTTTTAGACTTATCTCATTTCATATTTGACTGCTCTACAAATTATGCAGTTGCTGCTATGTATTCTCTCATGATCCATAGTTCAGAGATGAAGAACACAACTGCAGAACCATAATGGAGATGGGCAGGTGGTGTTTCATAACTCTGATTGGCTAAAACTAAAACAAGCCAAAAATAAATAAAATTAGATAAAATACTGTCAGAGTCAGAGAGTCAGAGTTACTTTATTGTCATACACATCTCATGTGGTACATGTGGTGGAATGAGATTGTGTACACAAGGTCCCAGTTACATCCAACAATAAAATATAAAAGAAAAACAGTAATAAGATCTAAGATATGAACTAAGAAAAACATCAGCTAAATATACACTAAGCACTAATAGCATAAAAACATTACGTCGAACAGCAGCACGAACATGAGTCTGTGTGAGCAGATGATCACGAATGAACACAGCAACATGAAACAGATCAGCAGCAACATGAAACAGATCAGCAGCAACATGAAACAGATCAGCAGCAACATGATTTGATTTTTCACAGTGATTATTCTGGTTAGAGATTCATGAGTCTAACAGCCTCAGGGTAGAAGCTGTTCCTCAGTCTAGTGGTTCTACACTTAATGCTCCTTAACTTCCTTCCTGAGGGGAGCGGGGCAAAAAGTGTGTGTGCTGGGTGAGTGGGGTCCTTCATGATGCAGGTGGCCCTCTTCCTGCATCTGGAGGTGTAGATGTCTGTGATGGTGGGGAGACTGACTCCAACATCTTCTGTGCAGCCTTCACCACTCTCTGTAAAGCTTTTCTTTCTGCAGCTGTGCAGCCTCCATGCCACAGTCTACACAGAAATAAAAGAAAGAATGGCCAAAAAATAATGCGAAAACAGCTAAAACATAGTATTGAGTATTCACTGAGGGAGTAAATGAAAAAGGTGCGGTGCAGGTCAGCTGATTTCAGACAGAAAACTGCTGGGATAGAAAAAGTGAAAAGGATGATTCTCTAACAAGAAAGTTTGTTAAAAGAAAGGTGTTCAAGAAACAGAATCTATTAGATCATAAAACAGAGCAGCTGTGGCTGAGTGGTTAGAGCAGTCGTCCTCCAGTGCGAGAGTTGAGGGTTTCATTCCACCAGCAGTCACATGCCGAAGTGTCCCTGGGCAAGACACTGAACCCCTCACTGCCTCTGATGTGTGTCCCATCAGTGTATGAATGTGATAAAGAACTGATTAGACTTTGTAGAGATCTAGTTTAATGCTGTATGAATGGGTAAATGAGGCACAGATTGTGTTGTAAAGAGCTTTGAGTATCTCAATTAGAAAGGTGCTGTAGAGACCATTTACTTTTTACCATAATAGGCACAAATAAACAGCATGAACACAAATGAAACCAAATATAACAAAAATCAAAAATCATGGCAGCGTCTACTGTATTCTTTTGATGTTAGTTATTTTACTGTGTATATACGAGACATGCTGAAGCTACATGATTGATTGTATGTGTGCATTGTGTCTTAAGGTGGAGTTGTGGATGCTGAGCGTTTCACTCTCGTAAGTGGAGGTAAACCATCCAGGAAATGTGGTATCATGTCAAGTGGAAACCATTTGTTCTTCAGTGAAGATGGTCTACGCATGCTGGTCACCAACGATATGGACCTTTCCAATGCCAGGTGCACCATTACCAACCAAATAAACACATATTTTAACTCGGTTCCTGTTTATATTGGAAACACTGTTGAAATGTTGGCTCGTCCCTGCAGGTTTGTTCAGTTCTTCCTGCGTCTCGGCTGTGGGAAAGCGGCCCCAGACCCTCGTTCCCAGCCTGTTCTGTTGCAGTTCTCAGTGGATGGAGGTCTCACCTGGGGTCTCCTTCAAGAGTTTCTCTTCAGTAACAACAGTAATCAGGCACGTCTGGTGGCCCTGGAGATCCCACTGCGTGCCCGTACTCCGTCTACTCGCTTGCGCTGGTGGCAACCTTCAGAAAATGGACACTTTTACAGCCCCTGGGTCATAGATCAGGTGCATTATTAAATGATCTGCCATCCACTGACTGGCCTTTGTTCACCCCAGTTACACATTTTGTTGAGTCAAATCTTTATCGTGTTTCTTAGGTGGTTGTGGGGGGCAGTGCCAGTGGTTGGGGACCACTGGAAGACGATTTCTCCTCAATTGACGGCCGCTCGTGGCTCCTCCACCCGGGAGGGACCCGAATGCCCGTTTGTGGCTCTGATGGACCAGCTTTTGCGTTCATAGAGAAGTCCAACACACGCTATGCTGTTACCACTGACATCAGTTTGGGTCAAGATGCATTTATTCAGTTTGATTTTTCTGCATCCTGCTCTGTCACAAACTCCTGCTACTGTAAGTGATGAGAACGACTAGTGAATACATTGTCTTTTCAGTTATGTTAACACTTTCATGATAAAATAATGTGATGCTACAGAACATTGTTTGGTAAGAAATGTACAAATCAGTCAATGTTTCATGGCGTTTCCCTTTTAAACAGTAAGATATAATAATGAAACACAGATGTTTAAAGACATCTGTTGATGTTTCTGTGCAGCTGTGGAGTTGGAGTATTCACTGGATCTGGGTTTGACCTGGCAGCCTGTGGTCAGAGACTGCCTGCCAACCAGCCCCGACTGCTCTTCTTACACTCTGCAGCGGATTCTTGTTTCAGACACATATAACAAGTGGGGCCGTGTCACTTTGCCCATCCCGTCATATGCCAGGTCAGCAATGTCCTGTTCTTTTTTCTCCAAAATATTAACTGCAGTTGATATCTGTGTTTAAATGTAATATAAACTGATTGTTATAGACCAGAACAATTCACATTTCCAGATAAGCTTATATCTCAGTTTAATTCTTTGTCATGTTTTAACTGTGACATTTATCTTGGATTTATGCGTTTAGATCTCCTGCCACAAGGTTCCGCTGGTTCCAGCAGGCCCCGTTTGACAAGCAGCAGACATGGGCTCTGGATAACCTCTACATTGGAGATGGCTGCCCTGATATGTGCTCTGGACATGGGCGCTGCCAACAGAGCTCCTGTGTGTAAGTAACAAAAATAAACTCTTGCAGCTGACTTACATGTCAGCAGACAGTATTAAACGATATAGATATGCAATATTATTTTTACTTCGCATTTTGTTTACAGGGCCTAGTAGTCATGTCAAGCAGCTTGTAGCATCTTTAAATCATTTGAATTTGGTTCTTTGTTTAAATGTGCTCCCTCACCAGGTGTGATCCAGAGTGGGGTGGAGAGTACTGCGATGAGCCTGTGGTTCCTCTGCCCTCCCAGCTGAAGGACAGCTTTAGTCGAGCCCCCTCCCTCAGTCACTGGCACATCCTGACAGGAGGGAAGCTTAGCACCGTGTGTGGCGCTGTGGCCTCTGGAGCTGCGCTGCATTTCAGCGGGGTTCGTCTTCATGCATTTTTATTGTTTTAATATAGGTTTTTTGTTACTGTTTCAATATATGTTATATATAATATAACTCTCTCTCTCTCTATATATGTATATATATATATATATATATATATATATATATATATATATATATACACACACACACACACATATGTCTCTCTTGAAAATGAGACCAACTTGTATAAATTAAGGTTGAATGAATGAATGAATTTGTCTTTGCCCCTACTTTTGTTTTTTCATTACAAATTTATAAAGCTGTAAACTAATTCTCAGGGTAGTTTTCCCTCATTCTTTCTCAGTTTGTTTCATTTTTTGTTAATTTTCTGATTTAAATATGAACTAAAAATGTAATTTCTGAAATTAAGTCTAAAAAAATTCCAACATTTAGTTTTTATTAGAATCAACGTATGATGGAGACATTCAACAATTGCACAGGACAGGAAGAGTGTTGGAAAATGTATCTTTGAGTTTCAGTCTTTAAACAAACGTTCACTAAGTACACATAGGCAAGCCTTTATGTTTAGCTGTAGTTGTCCCAGGACATAGCTTTTTTTTTTTTTTTTTTTTTGTCCCAGGACATCTCAGTGCAGTCTTATTAGTTTGCCTTTCAAGTTGAATTTGTTTGTGCACAGTCTTGCAGTCGTCAGCTGGTCACAGTGGACCTGAACCTGACCAACGCAGAGTTCATCCAGTTCTACTTCATGTATGGCTGCATGGTCTCACCAAGTAACCGCAACCAGGGGGTCCTTCTAGAGTACAGCTTGAATGGGGGAATCAACTGGCACTTACTGACTGAGATCTTCTATGATCTGTACACCAAACCTGGGTAAACTATTCTCCTGCATCCACTCAGTGGTGGCACATAAGAAGTTACCACAGGATGAACAGAATCCACTTTGTGTCTTTGCAGATTTGTGAATGTGTTGCTGCCCCCTGCTGCACGACAGGAAGGCGTTCGAGTGCGTTGGTGGCAGCCACAGCACGATGGTGCAGACCACAGCGACTGGGCTCTTGATAATGTTCTCATTGCGGGCTCAGAAACCCGGGCGCAGATCTCTGACACATTTGGAGGGGTGGCGTTGCCTAGTCACGAGAGATCTCCAGCTGATGAGACCTCAGGAAGGATTGAGTCCCTGAACGAGGAAGAAGAAACACCAATAGGTGTCGCATTGCCACTGCCTTTTATTAAATAGAATGATTTCATACTTTAGATTCTTCACGTTTGTTTATTTTACTTTCTTTCCTCACAGCGAACGACCACTGGTTGTTCTCGGAGGATTGTTCAGTGCAGCGTTTCTGCAGCTCCCCTGATGGTGTGATGGTGTGTGGAAACGCTGATGGGAGAGAGGTGTACGCCGTCACTCAGGATATTGTTCCAGGCAAAGGCTGGGTCATGCAGTTCAAGGTTATTATTAAGTGCTAATTCACTTATTTATCATTTATAAAAAATAGATTGTAAAATTACATTACGTTTATTGATCCTTTTTGATTTTACATGGATTTTGATTTGAAGGGCACATTTGTATAAGTTGTTTTTTCGGCTGCTGCTTTTCTTCAGGAGTCCCTACAGCCAGCAAACTCGCATAAAACATTTGACAATTTTTTTATGCCTGATGCCACCCGGGCTCAAATCTGCAGCCTCATGATTACAGGACCACAGAAGTGACCACCCAGCTCCCACAGCCTCCTATAATTTACAAGTCATTTTGTCTTTTTCCAGATTGCTGTCGGATGCAACGTCCCAGACCGTCCTGCAGACCGGCAGGTTCATGTTCAGTATTCAGTTGATTTTGGGGTCACTTGGAAATACTTGGTTCCTCAGTGCTTGCCTGCTGACCCCCGCTGTGGTGGTCAAGTCTCTCAGCCATCAGTGTTTTTCCCAGCTGACAGCTGGAAGAGGGCGGTGTATTCACTACCCGACAGCATGGCTGACACGTAAGTTGGTATAAATCAACCTCTGCAGATATCCTGATGCATGCTCAATAATCCAGGTAGAAAAATCTGACAAAGTTAAGTCAGGCCCTCTGGACGGATTTGTTGAAACATTTCGTCTTTTATCCAAAAGACTTCTTCAGTCTAAGGAGATGCACTAAACTCTGTCTCATAAACAGCACCTTCTCGTAGTGGATCAACCAGTTTGTTGTTGACATCCAGAACTAGCTGTTCACATGATAAATAAGCACCATCAATCTAACAGTTGGTTGATGGCCGCTTGTTATTCACAGGGTGCTGAATGATACTAGCAATAACATCATTGTAAGAGGGGGACAGTTGAACACAGAGACCTCCATCCCTGTTTAATGATAGACAGGTTCTCTTCACAAAGAAAGCCTCCTTCACTCCTCTCTCAAACGATGTCAACAACAAACTGGTTGATCCACTATGAGGAGGGGCTATTTATAAGACTGAGCTTATTACAGCTCCAACCAACGAAGTCTTGGATAAAAGATGAAACCTTTCAACTGTTTTTATGTTTTGTTTTTTTTATCCGTCCACTGGACCTGACTTAACTTTGTTAGACAACCTCTACAAACTTTTGACAAATAATTCTTAAAATATTGTTAACAGGTTTATAATTTATGCATGTTACTTGACTAATTTCGTCTGTCTTGTCCCCAGTGCGGTGCGGTTCCGGTTCTTCCAGCAGCACTCAGACATCCAATGGGGTGTGGAGAACTTGTACATTGGGCCAGCCTGCGACAATCACTGTGGAGGACACGGAGACTGTTTGGACCAGCGCTGCATCTGTGATCCAGGGTTCACTGGACCAAACTGTTATGCCAGTGCTACTCTGAAGGTAGCTTTCTGCATATGAATCCAGTAAGGGACCACCTTGGTGTTTTGAGATGGTCTATATATTAAAAAAAATGTTTTGTAAATTTAAAGGCAACTCTGAAAGAGCGTTTTGACTGGGAGGGGGCAGCAGGCTCTCAGTGGCAGGTGCTGGATGGGGGTAAACCCTGTACGGACTGCGGTGTCCTGGTGGAGGGCACAGCCTTGTATTTTGGAGGAGCTGATGCCAGGCAGGCTGTCACTGCTGATCTGGACCTCCGGGGTGCAAAGTTAGTTCCTAACTTCCGTCGCTCGCAGTGAGCTAATAGTTCAGACTCTTTAATCAGATCATGAAATGGATGTTTCTCTCAACAGGTTTGTGGAGTACTGGGCCAGGATTGGAAGTGAGGATAACATGACCATGTGTCACCGGCCGACTTGTCGTAAAGAGGGGGTGCTGCTGGACTACTCCATTGATGGAGGTAAAGAAAAGGCATATGTGCCACATTACATTGTGTTTTCATTCCATCATCTTCTTATTTTGTTAATTGTGTCATTTTTTGGAACACAGGTGTGTCCTGGACACTACTGCATGAGATGGACTATCTGAAGTATGTATCAGTGAGGAGGGACTACATTGTTCTGCCAGAGGGAGCACTAACAAACGCCACACGCCTGCGATGGTGGCAGCCTTTCACAGTTTCATCAGGCCTAGCCTCCCCAAGCCTGGAAAGAGCTCAGTGGGCCATAGATAACATCTTGGTGGGAGGGTCAGACATCAACCCATCCACCCTGCTTGACACGTTTGATGACGGTAAGTTTGTGGATGTATTCAAACAGACAACATTCAGATATTGAATCACTCTGGCTGATCACACTGATCTCCTCTTCCATCCACCAGAGAGTGTTTCCCACGAGGAAAGCTGGAGTTTCTATCCTAACGCTGTGCGAACAGCAGGCTTCTGTGGAAATCCTTCATTCCACCTGTACTGGCCAAACAAGAACCACGACAGGACGCACAACATCCTCGCCACTCGAGAGCTTATAGTGCAGCCTGGATATATTTTACAGTTCAAGGTAAAGAACGGACCCATTCTTATGATGACATTGGTCCATTTTCTTCTGTACCTTTAGGGACTTCACTTTTTTTCTTCTGGTACAGATTGTTGTTGGTTGTGAAGCAGACACATGTGAAGACCATCATTCTGTCCTGCTGCAGTACAGGAAGGATGCAAGGTAAGGAAAAAACAGGGGATGTTAACTGCAACAAATTCTATGTTGGAGCATCTTTTAGAAATTTTTTCCCACTGATTGTTTCTCCCTTCAGGTCTGACTCCTGGCAGCTGGTACAGTCTGAGTGCCTCCCCTCTTCCGTTAACAATGTGGGCTGCTCACCCTTCCAGTTCCACGAATCCACAGTCTACAGTCCAGTTAATAGCTCAACGTGGACCAGGGTCACTGTCCAGTTGCCAGACCACGTCTCATCAGGGTATTTGAGCATTTATCTGAGGGATGTATTTAAACCTTTATGTTTCAGCTAAGTAAGCATTTTGGAATATGTTGCGTGCTTCAGGGCTACCCAGTTCCGCTGGATTCAGAAGGAGGGCACAGGAGAGAGGCACAGTTGGGGGGTTGACCATGTTTACATTGGTGAGATGTGCCCAGGGCTCTGCAGTGGCCATGGGTACTGCACGAGTGGAGTGGTCTGCATCTGTGACGAAGGATACCACGGTGGGCCACACAGTATAACCCCTGAAGAGACGTCTCTTTGCCCACAGAGCATGAACATGTTTCTATATCACCATTCTTCTGCTTCTTTCCTCGGACATGAACAGGCGATGACTGTTCCCTATCGAGCACCGACCTGCCCAGCTCCATCAAGGACAACTTCGAGTCCAGTGACGTGTCTCAGGAGAGCTGGCAGCTCATCCAGGGTGGAGAAGTGGGCAGCGGCTGTGGGCAGCTGTCACCACATGCTCACGGAGACTCGCTCTACTTCAATGGCTGTAAAATGAGACAGGCAGTTACCAAACCGCTGGACCTCACTAGAGCCAGGTACAGGTAAAAATGTAGAAACTAAATACTGTGCATCAGATGCTACCACTGTACCTGGATATTTTTAGTGAGCTCCACATCACTATTTGTATCATGTGCACTTTTTAAAATTTAATCCCGTCTTTTCATCTGGTTCCCTGTTTTATTCCAGTAAGATCATGTTTGTGCTGCAGATCGGCAGCGCAGCTCAAACAGACAGCTGTAACATAGCTCTGGATCAAGCAGACACAGTGGACCGGGCCGTACTGCTACAATACAGCGTCAACAACGGAATCAGCTGGCACGTCATCGCCCAGCACCAACCCAAAGACTTCATAAAGGCCCAGAGAGTTTCCTACAACATTCCTCTGTAAGGACTAGTGATAAACACCTCGCACACAAGCACCTTAAACTGAACTTTATTCTATTGAGATTTCTTTCAAAACATACATATTTCAGCTCTTTTGAAAGTGGGGCTCTGGAAAATTATTCTAATGATCAGTTTGATTATTTATTTTCGACTGGACTGATGAGCTAAACATGATCTGATCAGAATAAACTTATATTTCTTCAAACTGAATGTTTGAAAATAATTTACAAAGATACTGATTGTTCACGAGCTTTTCATAGAACCTCACTTCAAAAAAGCTGAACTTCCACTTTAAGACTATAAAAGTTAATGTGATATTTGTAAATGTTACATAAATGTTATCTAGTAATAAAAGGCCAGTTTTTTGTCTTTTGAAAACTTTTACCAATTACCCATATAATTAATATCAATAATAAATAATAAATATTTCATGATTCTTTTTGTGCCTTAATTCAGATTTCTTCAATTAAGAAAAAAATGTACTCAGTAAACCATGTTTTAATGATAAATAAAGCTACTATAGAGATATTTTACATTTTGGATGAGCAGATTTGCTTTTATTAGTCTTTTACTCATTCTGAATAATTGTTAAATTATTTATAAGAAGATGACCTCATTAAAAGTTGGAACAGTGATTAAACCCGTGGTGACCGTCATGAGGCTACTTCAAAATGTCTAAAATCTTACTGCACAATGTCTCTACAATCTCCCCAGTGAGGCGAGGGTTAATGGGGTAATGCTGCGATGGTGGCAGCCAAGACATGATGGCGCAGGACATGACCAGTGGGCGTTGGACCATGTGGAAGTAGTTCTGTGAGTACCCAATTCCCAACCCAGCTGTTGGGCCCCCCTCTACAAACTGGCCCCAACAGAGCTAGCCCTGTCTCTACCTCTGCCTGACCTGAGTACTAATGGTTCCTTCACTCCACCCTGGCTCAGTGACACTGACTGAACATCGGAGGAGTGTTTGGTTTTAAGTGCTTATTCTGGAGTAAAACGTCCTCCATGGTGGTTTGCTGGAAATGGGGCTGTTTGCTGACAGATGTTTTTATTTACAGCAGATCAACTCTTGCTGTCAGATCATGATATTTTCAGTGTTTTTGTAGGTTCATTTTATTTAATTTGTCAGGAATTGATTTAATCGTTTAAAATATATCAATTATGCCCTGAGGCTGATTTAGTCACTGGGTATGTTTACATGGACATAAGTAACCGAATCAAATGGCCGGTCGGAATAAAAGTGTGTCATGTAAACGCTCCGTTCGGGTTATTTTTTGTGTATTCGGCGCGATCCATTATAATTTCTGATCAGAACGAAACGGGTGGTTTACGCCGATCTGAAACCCGATCGGTGCGCATGTAAACGCTTGATCTGTTCGTTTTTATCTGATCGTGAAAAACTGACCTGACTGCGCATGTGCGACTTTGCCATTTCCGCCTGGCTAACGCTAATAATATTAGCATGTCAGGGAAGTAAAACTGGTCGGTGAGCGACACAACATTTCTACTAGAAACTTTTAAAGAGCTCAAAATGATTTCTATCACCTGTAGCTCAGTCAGGGAGTGCAGTAACGTCTCCAACATCATTCAAACCTGTCGCGGGTCCATTTTGGGTGCTCAGGTTTGTTTACGTTCACCCGGAAGTAGAACTTCTTCTTCGGTGGTTTTTTTAAGGAGAGTTTACCACACTGCGCATGTCAGTACTTCTGTTCAGAACAAAGCCCGCTGCATGTAAACGCTCATCATGAACAGATTGTGCCCATGTAAACAACACATTTGAATTATTCAAACAGAACACATTTCAATCCGGTCAGAGAATTCTGCGCATGTAAACATAGCTAGTGACAATTGAAATAACGCTTGTCCACATCAATTTTCTGTTGTTGTAACTTATTAATTCATTCCACTGTTTTGGTACTTTCATTTGGACACACACCTTTCAAATGGTAAATGGACTGTACTTATATACTGTAGCTCGATCCTTTCCATCTTATTAAGATACTCAAAGGGCTTTACAACACAATCTGTACCCGCATTTACCCATTCATACTGCACTCTACTAGATCTCTACAAAGATTAGTCAGAGCTTTATCACATTCATACACCAATGGGCCACACATCGGAGGTAATGAGGTGTTCAGTGTCTTGCCCAGGGAGACTTCAGCATGTGACTACTGGTGAAATCGAACCCCCAACTCTCCAATTGGAGGACGACTGCTCTAACCACTCAGCCACAGCTGCTCTATTTACTACACTGCCTGGCCAAAAAAAAAGTCGCCACCATAAAAAAGGTCACACTAATATTTTGTTGGACCTCCTTTAGCTTTGATTGCATCATGCATTCACTGTGTCATTGTTTCAATAAACTGCTTCTGCAATGTCACAAGATCTATTTCCATCCAGTGCTGCAATAATTTTTCACCAAGATCTTACATTGATGACTAGACACTAGGCATGATGGGTGCATCACTTCACCTGCCTCTCTTCTTACCCTGATGCCTCCATCACTCTGGAACAGGATAAATCTGGACTCATCAGACCACATGACCTTCTTCCATTGCTCCAGAGTCCAATCTTTATGCTCCCTAGCAAATTGGAGCCTTTTTTTTTTTCCAGTTAGCCTCACTGGTTAGTGGTTTTCTTGAGGCTACACAGCTGTTCAGTCCCAATCCCTTGAGTTCCCTTCACATTGTGCGTGTGGAAATGTTCTTACGTTCACTATTAAACACAGCCCTGAGTGCTACTGTTGTTTTTCTATGATTTTATTTCACCAAATGTTTAAGTGATCGCCGATCACGATCATTCAGGATTTTTTTCCGGTCACATTTCTTCCTCAAAGACGATGGGTCCCCACTATCCTTCCAGTTTTTAATAATGCGTTGGACAGTTCTTAACCCAATTTTAGTCATTTCTTCAATCTCCTTAGATGTTTTCTCTGCTTGATGCCAATGATTTGACCCTTCTCAAACAGACTGACATCTTTTCTACAACCACGCGATGTGTCTTTCAACATGGTTGTTTAAGAAACGAGAAGCAGCTCATTGCACCAGTTGGGGTTAAATAACTTGTTGCAGCTGAAAGATAATCACCCATGCAGTAATTATCCAATAGGAGGCTCGTACCTATTTGCTTAGTTAAATCAAAGTGGCAACTTTTTTTTTGGCCAGGCAGTTGTATTATGCCCTATTACTTTCAATATTTATTTCACTTAGTTGTGTGATGAATATTGTATTTTTTTTACATATAATTCAGTTCAACAAGTTCCTGTAGGATCAATAAAGTTCTATTTTTTCTTATCTTACCTTATTAGGAAATGAGGCTCATATTGGCAGTAATAACTGGGATTGGGACCCTCCTGTGAGATGTTACACACCAAGTAGGATGTCTTGAGATTGTTACAAGAAATCAGATAAATAGGAAAATGATTGCTGATGACATTAAGATAACTGTTACCAGTGATGAAATCAGTGGTCGAAAATAGAAATGAACAGAGCGCAGTGAAATCACGTCAAAGTGAAAATAATTGTAATTTTATTATACCTTTATGTTGCCCTTTTCTTTGCATCTCTAAACACAGAGGGTAAATAAAGGTAGTGATTTGTCACTTTATTCCAGCAGCTGATTGAAATAGTAAACTTTAGAACTTGTTTTGTTCAAGTATCATATAAGTTTTTGCTTCAAAAAGAAAAATAAAGATCAGAAGCAGAATAAGCTTTATTGTCATTGTACCGAGATTTTCAGAATACTTTTAAGATAGAAAAAGGTAAAAGGCCATGAGGCTGGATATTGGTATTACAAAAAAAAGATCTCTTCACATCTTGTCCTATCAGGACACGATTTAAGACATCAAAAAACTACCAGAAAGCACATTTATAGACACATTACATATGCATTTGACAACAAGACACGATGAGATTTGTCCACGAAACCCTTTCAGATAGGTCATAGTTCTGATAAGATGTTGGTCAGCTGGCAGTTCTGATGAGCCTGCGCAGAAGTTCTCAACGGGGGGGGGGGGGGGGGGGGGCGGGGGGGGGGGGGGTGGGGGGGGGGGGGGGGCGATAGATGAAGCTTTTTTCTTGGTTTACCCATGTCCCAGATTCAGATAAGCCACAATTGTTGATTTTCTTCAGGCAGGCAGACTATTTTTTTCTTGTCAGCCTTGAGTCCTGCAGGAACTTTCCAGATCCAAAATGGCCAGATTTATGGGCATTCCACTGATCCATGCTATGAGCCTTCTTCAAGTTCGACCCCAACATGCTGGCGAGTCCTAGAAGCTGCAGGTGGCCTGCAATTCTCACAAATCACTTCCATCTTATGGTTTAGCTCATAAATCTGCTGATTTTGAGTACTTGTAGCACAAACCAAACCTTCACACAGACTCAGAAGTTTTGTCATGGCCGAAACTGCTGCCGATGTCTTCTTCTAAAGTTGATAATACAGGGACCCGCCAATGCCAAAGAGCAGAAACCCTGCTATCATGAATCCATTTATATAAATGTCTTTGGCGTCCCCTTGAGACAGAAGTGAAAAACACATCAGCTGCCAAAGTCCCCACAGATCCTTGATGTATTCTGCAGCGTGAGTCTCGGCAGGACATGGGGGCTCTCCAGGACCCTGTCGTTTTGTTGAAAAGATTTTGTCGATTGCGTTGAAAGCACAAAAGTACAGTTCACCAGATTATATCAGTATTTTTTTGTTTGGAAGCGGTGTACCAGGAGCTCCAAGACACACACAAAGAGCAACAGCAGGAGGAGAGAATGTGTCCGCCTTGAGCGAGAGCAGAAAAAAAATGGATGTAAACTTCAATAAGATTAAATCTGTTGGAGTCATTTCAAACAACCACATATCATCCTTAACTTAAAGGTTAAAGATTTAAACATTTCTACAATATTTCTACTGGTTAGCCCACCTTGAAGGATGCTAGTTAGCATGCTGTATAATAATGATGTAACTGGTTTAATCCCTGTCATTGGACCGAGGCCAAAAAACAGCAAAAATAAAGTGGTTAAGAAAAGAACAACAAAATAATCATAAATTCTCTGAATCACTATCTGGTATTATGGTGGTAATGTTCATCCAACTGAACAATCTTTAATTTGATTTATGAAAGTTTTTCAACATGTATTGATCAGTGGTCAGCAGTGATAATAAATGTTTACATGACATTATATATTATTTAGATACTAAAAAGTTAAAGTGAAAATGTTGCCTTCATCCAAAGGAGTGGAGTCATTCCACAAGGGCTTTAACGTCCCCAGATGTGTTGCTCCACTCTGTTTTTAGATCAGCCTGGTTGCTCTTTAAATGTTTCAGTCAATGATTATCCAGGTCGTCTCTCCACACTTTCCTTGTTAGTTGGAAGCTGAAAAGTTTACACGACTACTACACTACAGGAAATTATGATTTTTTTTTTAATCACATACATTTTTGTTCTACTGCAAACTCACAATATTCTACTAATTTTTACTTAAAAATTGAATTGCATTACTTTTATTTTTTTAAGAAATAAAATAAAATAGATCTGAAGGAACTTACTTTGCTCTCAGTCACTCACACTGAGTTTTTTTTTTTTTAAGATTTTGTGCTGCATTACCAGTTTTATTACTTTATACCAGTCGATGCTTTAAAATGTTCAAATTAAAGAGGACACTGAAGATATCATGATCTTTATACTAACTTTACACTTACTAACACCATCAGAAGACGCTCCTGTGAGATGCAGAGCAACAATCTTAATGTGAAAGCGTTTCAAAGCCTGCATAAAACAGCCGTGTCATGTTAAAATCTGCAAAGTCATTGAGAAAGGCACCTAAACAGACCCTGAGGCCTAACCTGAGCTGTCCCTGGTCTTCATGGCCGTGACCTGTCCCACTCCTTCCTTTGCATTTGCTCAGTTTTCAACAGTGTCTGCTGAAAAGAGTGACCCTCACACTTTGCTCTGTTCTTTATTTCTCTCTGTTCACCACTCCTTCACTCGTTTCCTCTCCACTCCTCCTGCTCAACCTTTATTTTATTTATTTACTTTTTTGCTTTGACTTTCCCTTTCCTCCCTGCTTTCACCGTTGCCCCTGGTTACGTGTTTGTGCTTGCTCCTCTGCTTGATCTGTGAACCTTCCTCCATCTTCTCCCTCTCTCCCGTTTTCGTCCTCCCTCTCAACTTCTCCTCCGACCATTCTGGCTCGATGAATGGATCCTGCCGTGTGACCTCCTCCATCTTCCTCTTCACTTTTTGCTCGTCTTCGTTACATCTTCCCTCCACCACTTTTACTGCTTACATACTCTTCTTCTTTGGGTCTCTGCCTCCCCAGGCTGGGGCTCCTACCCCCCCAGACCTTTCTACGAGACAGCAGTCCCCTCCTCCTCCTGCCTCCCCCCTCTCGCGCTCTAACCTCTGCTCTCTTCTGTATTCTGCTCCCTCTGGCATGGCTGTAGTGTGAGGTAAGTTCTCCGCCTCTTCCTGAATGCAGCCCCCACCCACCCCTCCACCACCACACACAAACCCTTCCTCCCAAACTATTTTATTTTCTCCTTGTACCACTGCAGACACCGTTCTTATAATTTTACATACACATTCAGCCCCCTCTCATCTCCACCATCCTCTTGGTTTGAAACGACACCCGAGGCAGGTCAAAGGGCAGGCCGGCTGCTCGCAGCGTTCAGGCGAAGGCTCGCTGAAAAATAACAAACGGTTAACAACCAGCTGGATAAAGGTCTAAAATACACAGAAATGATTAACGAATTCAAACTGTGGTTTTGACTTGAATAAGCTCTTTGCATAATGACCACATTTTATTTAACGTGTTACGTTTCATACAAAGATACATGTTTGTGTTTATATGTGTGATGTAATCCATCACTATATATCTGTATCCGTTCTTACAACAATCTAAAACAAAATCAGGTTTGGTGTTTTTGACTTTGCTACTAATTTTAGAAACTAACATGAAAATCCTGCTTCAAAAAAATCCACATGTTCCATCCAGTTAGTAAAAAATCAAGCTCTGCTTTTCCACTCAGTTGAATAGGAGATCTATCATTATTTTTAAAATAAACTCACATTTATTCTTGGAGTTTCATCCAACTTTTTGCCCTTGCATGGCTTTACGGATCAACAGTTGCAACAACTCTCCATCCTCTTTTGTTTTCACTCATGGCTGTTTGTTTGTTTGTCTGTCTGAGCACAACAACAACATGTCTCTGGGCCAGGAGTACCCACCTCACCTTATATTTGTGATTAAACAGCACCAATTCTGAAAAGTTGGGATGTTCTGTAAAATGTGAATTAAAACAGAATTCAGTGATTTGCAAATCTCTGAAAACAATCCAACAATTTTCAGTCAGGTCATCTGGACAGGTTCTTTTTTTTTTTTTTTTTTTTTTTGCTGAAATGTTTCACCTTCCATCCAGAAGGCTTCATCAGTCAAGGAAACACAACACAAAAGTGGTTCTTCCCCCAACAGCTTACTATAAAGTTGGATTGTATACCTGGATTACTGAGCATGGACTTTGTTGGTTTTGAACCAGTTTGACATGACTGTTGACGAGGGAGAGGGCCGACAATGGAGGAGGGGGTGTGCCCAAGAGACCATCTTAGCACCAACATAACTGGTTTGTTCCACTTTGGAGTAAGCTGTTGGGGGAAGAATCAGTTTTGTGTTGTGTTTCCTTGACTGATGAAGCCTTCTGGATGGAAGGTGAAACTTTTCAGAAAAAAAAAAAACTGTCCAGATGACCTGACTGAAAATTGTTGGATTGTATACCTGGATTATTGAGCATGGACTTTGTTGGCTCTGAAAACGTAGTTTTTTTCACGAGACACCGCAAACATCAAATGCTGAAACTAAGAGATTGTCTTTAAGAAGCACGTGGTAAATTTGAATTTCATGTCAGCAAAATAAAAAAATGTAACAGGAGCAACTAAAGCATGTAAAGGTAAGAGATGCATTAAAAAAAACAGCTAGAGGTGCATTTTGTAATAAAATAAACCAAAGAGCAGCAGGACAGTAAGAAGACTGAAATAAAGCCTCTTGGGCTGAATCTCTCAGAAGTAACGAGGAGCAGAGGTTCACCAGTCTGGTTCTACTGTGTCCCACTGTAAAATATGAACATTAACTTTATGAAATTTGCAAACCTTATATTTTTATTTACATTCCAACTTTTCTGGATTGATGAACCATAAGAACACGGATCATCAACACACGCAGTTTAACAACCATTAAAGCTTCCACCCTCACAGCCTCAACCATCACACACACACACCATCCCCACCTTCCCCTGCCCTCCCCCCTGCTTCACAGAGACCCCACCCTGGCTGCACTCCTGGCTCACTGGCACCGCCCTGCTGGATGGAAGAGGCAATAAACAGGCTAAGCAAGAGTGATGTTCTGCAGCTTTTTGTTCTCTGACTTTGTTTAGAACCCTTTCCTGCTCAGGACCCTGCACTATTAAACCTTTTTGTTTTTACTTTTTTATTTTTATCTGACCTCAAACATTCAGTGTCAGCGTTTTGTGTTTGTAGACTCCCTGTGCGTCCTGTAGCTCATCGTGTCAAACGTTAGTCGTATCACCTGGTCCATGTAGCTGCCTTCCATTTGTGCAGAGTGTGAATAACTCCAAGTGTAAACTAGCACCATGAGGCCCATGCAGCTGTTGAGTGTTTGAGCTCATGGTTGATTGAAATCACAGCATGATCCTGGAGGTGAGAGAATGTCGAAGCTACATCAGATCATTTTGTGTGTTTGCATGGATTAGAGCGTGAGTGTGTGTGACTTTATATCTGCTTTACGCTGCCACTAACGTGCACTCTCCTTTTTCCTTCCCTCTTTACTGATTTTGTGTCCCCCCCCCAGCACGCGTAAACAAAACTACATGATGAACTTTGCCAGACAGACGGGCATGCGCCACTACTACAGTCGCAAGAGGCGGGCTCTGCAGCAGCGTGCCTGAACGCCCGCCAAGGAGGGACCTCTGACCTGCCAATCACACATCGTCCTGCCTCACACGTCCATGTTCTGACACGTGCCGTGATCCATCCACCGGTACATTCTGATCTCCATCTCTGCCTGAAACAATCACCCAACTGCTCCAGCCAAGCATGGCCGTCCCACCCACCCAGATCCACCAGCATCAAACTGAAGGAAGGACTCAAACACCCACTTTAGTTTGCTGTTTTTCCTCCCCCTAAAGGATGCTCTGGGTTGTAATTGTTGCTAATGTTCCTCCCTCAGGTCGCCACCCTCCCCTTCTTTTTCCCTACCACACTGTGAATTTAAAAGAAAATAAATCACTGGTGAACTGACCAGCTGATTGGAGATTAGCCTCCCAGTTCCACTGAGCCACCAAGGGAGGGGGGGACAACCACTCTGCTGCCGCCAAACCAGTATGCCAAGAAAGATACGATGATCCGGATCATTTGGGGGAATAAAGGTGATGAAGCAAAAAAAACAACAAAAAAAAGTACTGATGTTTTTGGTGTTCTGTGTGTCTGTGGGTTCTTTTTGTGCTGAGTTGACTGTGGTGTTCCGTTCGTTCGTTTTCTACTTATTCATAATAAAGGGGGAGGGACTGGGGGGGTGCGCTGGGTTGTTTCCTTTTTCTTTATTGGATCAGGTGTGGAGCAGGGTGCAAAACGCCCTGAAAACACACCAAGAATGAAGAAACGAGAGATCGTCATGACAACGGGGAAAGAAAATATCACGAAAAAGAAGAAAAAAACAAAACGTAAAGACTGATCAAGTTTTTTTTTTTATCCTTTTTTATATATGTTGGTTTCCGAAAATACAGATATTTATGGTAAATGGTTCTTCACGTTACCTATTTAAGATGCACTGTGCGTGGATTCTGTACGTTATTTTCTAGTGTTAAGTTATTGAACAAGTCGAGTCAGGCTCTCAGACTGCATCGTCTCTCCTCTTCCTCCACTCCCCTCTTCTCGTGCTGTTTCCCCCTCCTCCCTTCTTCCACTTTCTCTGCTGATATCTGATACCTGGAGGTGAGGCTCGATCAGTGTTGTTTTTTGAAGTCTGTGTAATATGGACCCTCTGCCCCCAGTGTGACTCCAGTATAGCAAACTCCTGTATATATATGTATATCCACTGTGGGGAGACCCAGCAGCCTTATTAAAGGGAAATAAAGAACTGTCAAACCTCACCGTCTCATCTTCTTTCTCACTTTTAAAAGCCAAAGATTTATCAGCTGTGTCCCACACTCAGTCTGCCTCAAGTCTTACATTATTACTCTAATAAGCCACATTCGATGACAGGAGAAGATTTTGAACTGGTTTTACTTGCAAGGGCAGATTTTCACAGCAGGTTACACAGATATACAGAAGTTTATATACATGGAGCCCAGTCATGAGAGTCTACCATGGACAGTGCCAAGACTTGTTTTTATAAGCTTATCAGCTCCCAGCACACAGGCATACTGGTGTCCTTGGACTGCCAGCTGCACCTGCAGTATCAAACCAGCTCCTCATCCAGCTCTCCTCTAACAACACATGGTTCATGGGCAGTTATTCTCAGTCATAATAGTTAAAAACATCCATAAACCTTGAACAAAATTCCGACACTATACTTTGTATATTTTATACTTAAAGCAATGGTTAAGATTTTTTTTTTTAAGGTGGGGCTCTGTGGAAAGTGTCTTAACAATTTGGTAGATAACTGAACGACTTAGGTTTAGACAAACAGTGATTAGGTGTGACCAAACAAGACAAGCTAATGGCTAGTACGAGCACAGCCTAGATAAAAGAGGATTAGTATAGCTGACAGTTGTACCGATATTAAAGTTTCATGAGGTAGTAGCTGGGTGGCACAGTGGTGTAGTTGGTAGAGCTGTTGCCTCTCAGCAAGAAGGTTGCCGGATTGAATCCTGGCCAGGGACCTTTCTGGGTGGAGTTTGCATGTTCTCTCCGTGCATGTGTGGGTTTTCTTCTGGTACTCTGGTTTCCTCCCACAGACCAAAAACATACATGTTAGGCTGATTGGTAACTCTAAATTGTCCCTAGGTGTGAATGAGAGAGTGAATGTTTGTTTGTCTCGTTTGTCTCTATGTGTCCCTGTGATGGACTTGCAACCCGTCCAGGGTGTACCCCGCCCCTCGCACAGTGATTGCTGGACATGGGCACCAGCGACCCAAAAGTGGAATAAGCAGGTAAAGAAAATGGATGGATGGATGGATGTGGCAGCAACTTCTAGTTGTAGCACTTTTTATTTTATTTTATTTTTTATTAACCTTTATTTAACCAGGCAAATCCCATTGAGATCTCTTTTGCAAGAGAGACCTGAAGGCAGCCTAACATGCATGTTTAGGTCTGTGGGAGGAAACTGGAGTACACTGAGAAAACCCACGCATGCACGGAGAGAACATGCAAACTCCACTCAGAAAGACCCCAGGTCCAACCAGGGATTGAACCCAGGACCTTCTTGCTGTGAGGCAACAGTGCTAACCACTGAGCCATCATGCCAGCCTTTTGATGCAGCTTTAGGCTCTTCCTGTAGAAATACATTTCTGCTAAAGTAAAGGTGCAATTTTAAACTGACAGAGGTTTATAAAATATATTTTATATGAATTGTAAAATGTTTAAGATGGGAGTTTAACGACAGAAGCAACCTACTTTGGTCTTGGCCTTTAGTTACTTGAAGTCAGAATAAAACTTCTTACAGAAATTTAGAGAGCCATCTGCTGCAGGTGTACATTACGTGTTCATTGACTTTCCACAGAATCTTCAAGATCTGAATATCAGAAAATCCTTCTGTCTCAATAATATAAAGCTTCACAACCTAAAAGGAAAATGTAAAAGAAATACAAAAAATCAAGTAAAGACACATTTAAAAATCAATGGGTTTAAAAAATTGATAGGTTTAAAATAATTAAATTCAGTTGATTTATCTAGCACCATATCACAACAAAGTTGCCTCAGGGCACTGAACAGAAATATTCACATACAAAGAAAAAACAGTAAAGTTCTCCAAGGAATAAAAGTAAACAAGGTTTTGTTCCAGGTTTAAACAAGAACAGGGAAATTAATATGTTCATTATATATATATATATATGTATATATATATATACACACACACACACACATACACAGGAACTGTGCTGCTCCAAGTGGCTGCATGTTGAAGCAGCTCAATTTCATTCCGAGATACAAATTATTGCTTTTGAAAAATTTAATTCCTTTTGTCTGGGTGTAAATCACCTTTCTTTGGATTATTTCCTCTGGTATCAGATGCTGTGCAGTTGGAAATGTTTTTACTGAAACTTTTACTTTGGGACATTTATGATGCGTAACCAAAACAAGGTTGTTTTTTGTTGTCGTTTTAAACACAACTGGGAGCAGCAAATTAACATCTCAATACCTCAGAATTTGGCTGGAGATGCAACAGTGAAGCCGTTTACAAGAAGGGACAGATCAGACTGTACTTTTCGAGGAAGCTGAAGTCCTTCATTGTTTGCAGTAAGATGCTGCATATCTTCTACAAGTCTGTTGTAGAGAGCACCATCTCTTCTGCCATCATCTGCTGGGGGAGCAGCACCAGAGCAAGTGACTTAAAAAAAAAAGCTCAACAAGCTCATAAAGAAGGCTGGCTCAGTTCTGGAGACTCCTCTAGAACCTTTGGAGATGATTGTTCAAAGACAGATTCTTCATAAAATGAAGAACATTATAGACAACCTTCAGCATCCTCTTCAGACTGTCATCAACAGAGTGTCTTCAGTCAGAGGATTCTTCAGATCCACTTTAGTACAGACGCTACAAGAGATCCTTCCTGCCCACAGCCATCAGAATCTAGAACAACTCTTTAATGAAACCAGGATGAGTTACATTTAATTTCCCTCTGGGATTAATAAAGTATTTTTGAATTTATGTTTATTAGAGCTCAGAAAAAATATATACATTTTAAAAGTATTTATTATAGTAAAAGTATAAAATAGACCATAAGACAAAGGATTAAATTAAAACCACCACTGTGGTGGTCATCACGGTCGTGCACACCTCAGTGTCTCCAGACTGGGTGTTCACCCCGTGTGCAGTGTCCGGTGTTGTAGAACTCACAAACCACAGACCATTACAGCGATGACCAGTAAAGTTAGAGCGATACAGGAAGGTCTGAGAGCAGAACACGAGTTACAGAACTGCCAGTCACAGCAGCTGTACGTCATCTTGTGGACCGTCCCTTTGAGGCGGACGTTGACCTGACCACTGCAGCGCTCCTTCGGCACGCAGCCCCTGGATGACAGGGCTGTGTGGTTGCCATAGCGACCCAGGCCTATGAAGCAGACCTCTTTGGGGAGACACTCCGTCACAGTGTATTCAATGTTCTTCTCCTTCTGTATCTCCAGGACGGGCATGAAGAAGCAAAGCAGGTTTTTGCAGTGCAGCAAGGGCAGGAGCAGAAGGACCAGCGTGAAAACTTGGAGGAGCATCTGCCTGGAGGAGAAGAAACGTTTGCACAATCAAATAAAGAGTTCAATTTAGATTCCCTTTTAGCAAACACCGGGCAACCCTTAAAAGTTCAAATAAGTCATTTCGCAACCAATTACTTTTTTTAGAAATCAATTTAAAAAAGGACAGAAACTTTAAGTCACCAACCTGAACAGAAGTATCTTTATATCTAAATGAAGGAACTCAACAGGATAAAGTTTTAAATACCTGCTGTATGTCGTGTAAAAGCTCTGTAGATTTGCAAAACCCACATTTGACTGGTCAGTTTGTCCTTTCAGCTTTTACAAATTCAAAGTAGAGAAAACTGTATAGTTCGTATTTTTAATTTTTATCTTGAACTGCAATCAGATGACACGACAAGCTGTTCAGTTATTTAGAGCGAAAATTTGGGAAACTATTTTAAACTTGCCAATAGAAAAATCATATATTTTAGCCACGACTGATCCATTTTCAAAAATCGTCCAGACCTTCTTTGTAGCTCGCAGCACAACCAATCACCGTATGACGCAGTTAACTTCTAAAATTATTGCCAGTTATAGGTTTTTGATCTCTCAGACCATCAGTGGCAAAAGAAACTCAGCAAACATTCATACTTTCAAACCCCAATGAACTTGCACACAGCTGACAGGGTGAGCACAAACCTCTATAAACTATTTCATTCAAAGACATGGCTGCAAAGGTTTTAGGTGATTAACTTGAAGGAAAACTTACCGGGCCATTTCAGCAATTTTAAATCCAATCACCCAAAACTTTTCAGAATTTCTTTAGAGCAGTGATCTCTTCTTCTTCTTCTTCTCGATGAGTTTAATGGCGGTTGGCAAAAAACTGTAGGTGTGCATTACCGCCACCACTGGTATGGAGTGTGGTTCATCATGGGCTAATTCTATGTGTATGTGTGAGTAAACTATATATATCTCAAATTCTATTAATCAACTTTGTTTTCTTAAAATATCTAATTATAATTTGTATATGTTTGCTCTCCAAGTTGTGTTGTAGTGCATCTATTATATTAAGTTTTTCTTTTATCTTTTCAAACTGTCTCTTCATAAACCTTCGTTCTGCTGCATATTTCTGACATTCCAATATCACATGTTGAATAGTTTCATCTTGTCCACAGTGCTCACATTTTCCTGTATTGTGTTTCTTTATTTGAAATAATGAATAATTCAGTCCCGTATGTCCAAATCTCAATCTTGTTATTAATCTTTCTTCCTTTCTGCTCCTTCTTCCAGTTCTCGTTTCTCCCACTGTCTTTTTGATCCTATAAAACCATCTTCCTTTTTTTCCTTCATCCCATCTTTTCTGCCATTCTTTCTTCAGTTTTTGTTTGATGATACTTTTTACCTCTGATTTGCTTATATTTACTGTAAAGTCAATGTGATTCTGAGTTGCCTTCTTTGCCATCTTATCTGCCATCTCGTTTCCTTCAATCCCAATGTGCGCTGGTACCCATAAAAATGTCACTGTTAAACCCATCCTTTGTGTTCTGAATAATGTGTGGTATATTTCTAATAAAATATCTGGCCTACTGTCTGTATGATTGTGCTTTAAACTGAGTAATGTGGAACTTGAATCTGAACAGATTATTGTTTTTAATGGTTTTACTTCCTCCACCCACTGCACTGCTAATAACACTGCTAACATCTCTCCTGCATATACGGATAAGTCGTTGGTGATTCGTTTTCCTATTTTTATTTGAAATTCCGGTACTATAAAAGCTATTCCTATTTTTTCATTTGTTTTTGATGCATCTGTATATATTTGAATGTACTGGTAATAATTGTTTATATAAGTCTGTACTGTGTGTGAATCTATGATGTATGTCCTGTCCTTTTTCCTTTCCATTAGTGTCATGTCGACTGTTGCTGTTGGTAATATCCAGGGTGGTAAAACTGATAGTGGTAAATGTGGACTTATTTCTAAATGATGTATTTGAACTTCTTCTGTTTTCTTTCTTATGATCCATCCAAAACTTCTTGTTTGTTTTTTCTCTTTCTCCCAGCATGGGATTAGTGTATCGAGTGTTGGATGATCCGGGTTATTGCTTTGTAAGTTTATCCAGTAATTTATTGCTAGTTGTGTTCTTCTTAGATCTAAAGGCATCTCTCCCATTTCTACTTCTAGCGCTGTTGTTGGTGTAGTTTTGAATGCTCCTGTGCAGATTCTTAATGCCTGATGTTGTATTGTATCTAATTTTTCCAGATGAGTTTTTGCTGCTGATCCATAAATGATGCTTCCATAATCAATGTTTGATCTGATTAATCCGGTGTATATTTGTTTTAAAGCTCCTCTATCCGCTCCCCAGTCACTGCCAGCCAAACATCTCATAATGTTTAATATTTTTTTACATTTATCGATAATTTTCTGTATATGTATCTTCCATATTATTTTTTCATCAAACCATACTCCTAAAAACTTTACACTTTTTACTTGTTCTAATTCTTGATTATATAATTTTAATTTTATTTCCTCTCTTATTCTTTTCTGTGTAAACACCATAACTTTTGTTTTTTCTATTGAGAACTTAAATCCCCATTGAAATGCCCATTTTTCTATTTTAATTATCATATCTTGTATTTTTTTAATAACAAATTCTGTATTTCTACCTCTTTTCCATATGGCTCCATCGTCCGCAAATAATGAACATCCCATTTCTTTCTCAATGTCTGTAAATATATCATTTATCATTATGGAAAACAATAACGGACTTAAAATGCTTCCTTGTGGCGTCCCATTTTCTACTGTAAATTTTCTTGATAGTTCTTGCCCAATTCTCACTTCTATTGTTCTGTCTGATAAAAAGTTTTGAACCCAGTTAAACATATTTCCATTGATCCCCATTTGACATAATTTAATTAATAATCCTTCTACCCACATCATATCATATGCCTTCTCTAGATCAAAAAATACAGCGACTACACTTTCTTTGTTGATTTGTGCTTTTCTGACTTCATGCTCTAAGCAAATTGTTGGGTCATTAGTATTCCTCCCCTTTCTAAACCCACTCTGATATTTAGATATATACCCTTTGATATTTAAATAATAAGTTAATCTATTATTAATCATTTTTTCCATTATTTTACACATATTTGACGTTAAAGCAATGGGTCTATAATTTTCTGGGTTTGTATTGTCTTTTCTTGGTTTGGCTATTGGAACTATGATCGCCTCCTTCCAGCTCTCTGGCAGCTCCCCTTCCTCCCAGATTTTATTGTAAAATTCTAATATTGTATCTTTTGATGTTTCACTGAGATGTTCTATCATTGTATACCAAATGTTATCTTTACCAGGTGCTGTATTCTTTGTTTTCCTTAGTGCATAGTTCAGTTCTGTTTTAGTAAACGGTTCATTCAATAAATTATTTGTTTCTTCAGTATTTTGTTGTAAATCTTTGTATTTTAGTTTTGTGGCTTCCTGACCTTTCCTTCCTTCTTCACTCATGTTACTAGAACTATGAATTTTACTAAATATTTCTGCTAATATTTCAGCTTTCTCGTCATCTTTTGTAATAGTTTTGTTACTTATTTTTAATACTGGATATTCATATTCTTTTTTAATACCATTCATTCTTTTAATTATTTTCCAAATTTTTTCAATTTTTGTTTCTTTTCCCACTGTGTTACAGAATTTTCTCCAATATTCTCTCTTTGTGTTCTTAATTATTCTCCTTACCATAGCTTGTTTTCTTTTATAATCAATTAGATTCTGATAAATTGGATTCCTTTTAAGTACTTTAAATGCTTTATTTCTTAACTTTATTATTTCACTACATTCACTTGTCCACCAGGGTACAATTCTCTTGTCCTTCTGTCTTCCTCCTTTCTTTATTGAATTTTCTGCAGCTTCTAGTATTACCTTATTTATATATGTATTTATATTATTTATATCCATTGTCATGTTGACTTTTTCTAGACTAATTTGACTCAAATAGCTAAATTTAACCCAGTCTGCTTTATTAAAATTCCATTTTTTGTTTATTTTTATATTATTGTTATTTATTGTTAGTCCTGCTCTTATTGTAATGGGATAATGATCGCTGCCTATAGTTGTATTTTTATCAATGTCCCACTCACAGACACCAGCCACTGAGTTTGATACAAATGTTAAATCTATAACTGACTCTGCTCCTGTTCTTACATTCAGTCTCGTTCCTCTTCCATCATTAATGCATACTAAATTTTTGTTTTCCATTATTTCTTCGATAATCTGTCCATTTTTATCGTTACATTTACCCCATACTGTGCTATTAGCATTAAAGTCCCCACACCATATTACTCTCCCTTCCAGATGTTCCATCACCTCTTCCATCAACTCCAGTGACAATGTTTTACATGGATTATAAAAATTTAATATTTTACAATTTCCTTCTTTTCCCCAAATTTCTATTACTATATATTCCAATTCTTTACCTTTCCCTATTATTTGATATTGCCTGCCTTGTTTTATAAATATTATACACCCTCCTCCACTTCCTTCTTGTCGATCCCTTCTTATATTATCATATCCTTTAATAATAAAATCTATTGTTGGTTTTAACCACGTCTCCTGTACACAAATAACGTCTGGTTTCTCTTGAAGTTCGTTAATATAACCTTTAAGTTCCTGTCCATTAGCAATTAAACTTCTAGCATTCCATTGTAATATATTCATATATTGTCACCTGGTGTTCCTGGTCTTCCATCAGCTTCCAACCTTTTGTTAATGTTTTCCCAAGATCCCTCTTTGAACCCCAAAAATTTTTCAGCTCCTCTCACAATTATTTTAATTTTCTCTGTTTTATGTTTGGCCTGGTCAGTGCAGTTTATGACATATGCTATGAATAATATTAGGTTTTCAACTGGCATTGTGATGTTTTCCTCTGTTTGCTGTTTACTGGTACTTTGTTGTGGGTTCTGGTTCTCTGTTTGTCCTGTCGCTCTTGTCTTTTGTTCTTTGACACTTTTGACTGCCTCTGCATATGTGGTGTTTTTACTTATTTTCACCTGTTGGATTTCTTTTGCCGTTTTCCTCACTTCACACCCTCCATATGTAACTCTATGTTGTCCTCCACAGTTGCAACACTTCTCCTTTTCTTCTTTACATTCTTCTATCCTATGGTCTTCTCCACACTTTGGACACCTCTGTTTACCTTTGCACGCTGCTGCAATGTGTCCATATCTCTGGCACTTGTAACAGCGGAGTGGTGGTGGGATGTAAGGCCTAACTTGAAAATTTAAATAACCTATTTTTATGTTTGCTGGTAATGTTGTCTCATCAAACTCAATCATAATTGATAAACTTCCTACTCTTTCCCCATTAACAGTTCTTGATAGTCTCTTCAAGTTGTTTACTTGTGCACCAACAATGTTCCTTTTTATTTTATCTAAATCTTCATCCACTGGGATCCCGTAAATAACTCCGCGAACTGTTTTGTTTTCTCCTATTATCTTTTTTTCCATGACCATTCTTTTACAGATGTTCTCGACGTGCAAAGCCTTATTTTTTTGTTCTTCAGTTTTACATGATATTAATAAATTTCCATCTCTTAACACCTTCACCATTTCTACATCCCCAATCTTCCTTTTTATTTCTTTTGATATCAAAATGGGGCTTATGTTACCCTGCCCTTCCTCATTTTTTAGTTTTAATATTATTTTAAATTCATCCCTCACTACTTTTCTTCTTACTACCCTTTCTTCATCAGAGCTGCTCCCTTCCAACTCCCTTTTATTACTCTGGCTGTCATTTGTCCCTTCCTCCATTTTATTTCTTCCGCGTCCTCTCCCTCTACCTACCGGTGTCCACCCCTCAAAATCCATGTCTGCCTCGTCTCCTACCTGTTTTTCCATCCGAACCATTCACATACCAGTTTATGCCAATTTCCGCCTGTTCCAAAGTCCAAAAAATGTCAAATACCGATAATCCGTCAAAAATTGTTTTGAATTCCGCGCCCAACAGCTTCCTCCTTCCTTCACCCCTCCTTCCTTCCAAGCAGCAGTGATCTCCAGCTGACTAATGCTGTTTACAAAGAAGCCACACCCATCAGCACACCTGCATGCAATGTTCACACAAATCAACCAAACGAGGGCTTCATCACGGTGCTTTTATTGAGCAGCATCCATCAGGCTGTATGAATAATGTCAGTTATTATACCAGGAGGATGGTTGAGCAGTCCCACCTCTTCTCTCTGGATCAGAACATGTAAAAAACACCAGAATAGAAATTTATATTTACACCTTTTTTCCCCAAAATATCAAACTAAATCAGAAAGCATGCAAACATATGACTAAATGTTAGTCGCCTTTTAGAGACTAAGGCAGGTTCCTGTGGCCAACAGCCCCCCTCAGTCAGTAATCTGCACATGAACTCCACGGTTCCTCCTCTGCAGCTTCAGTGATGGTTTGATCTTCTGGTTGAGCTTCAATGATTCCTAGCAGCTTCTTCAGGCTGGTGTCAGGCTTCGGTGCGCTGTTACATCTGTCTCTGCAGCAGCACGTGTGACTGACGTTGTACTCGACTCCACGGTAAGAGACCATCTCATGGGAGCCACAGAGCCCGGCGTCCACGCAGCCCTGTGCAGACAGGATGTGGACAGAGCCGTAGCGGCCCCTGGAGCTGGAGCAGCGCTGGGAGGGCAGGCACTGACTGGTGACGTTGGAGCACGACTTGCCTTTGGGCTGTAGAGGACAGAAGGAACACAGCAGGCTGTCCAGGGTGAGAGCAGGGAGGACCAGTGCAGAGACAAGCAGGACGGAGGTCAGGGACCGGCCTGGGACGGATGGAGGGACATCCATGCTGTGAATCAGCCAACAATGAAAAACAGGATAGATAAAATATTAACATCCAATAAGGACTTTTTACAGTTTGTGTATCCGTGTTGTTCACCTGTGCCTTTGTGACCCCATCATCCTGTGAGTCAAAACCAGCAGCCAGCTCAATTTGAGTCCCCAACAGAGCCTCTGATTACTGATCAGAAGCAGGTGCGACTGAAAGCAACGATGCATGCAGACACAGACACTAGAAACCAAAAGCTTTCCAAATGGATCTGATGTTTATTGTTTTTAAACCACATCTTGCAGCTTTTAAACACTCTTCATCATAAAAAAGAAAACCCTCTCAGCTGAAAGGAGCAACAGGACTGCAGTGCCATCTGGTGTCTGACGCGCGACGAGCACACCATGAAGAATAAGACCTGTTTAATCAGACCAGTGCAGCAGGAATGTTGCTTTGTGTGACAGCAGGCTCAATAAAACTATCGTTTAACTTCCCAGCGTGACTTCTGATATCCTGCTCATGTGCCATAGTCAGAGGGAAACAGGAGCTGAGTCTCGTTGTACAGAGGTTCCTGAAAAGAGAAAGAAAAGCTGGCATAAGATGGAGTTTTATGCTTATGACAGACGATGGGATACAGAAAACACAGAAAGATACAAAGCAAAGTGATGCATTCATTCCCATATTAACATAATGTTTATATCACGAGACGCTGAAGCCAAAAGTGGAGTGGTGATGTTTCTGCTTTTATTTATACGTGTGTATTTATTTGTTGGCTAAATGTCACTGAACAGATTTTTATTCATCTTTCAGTGTGCAATCATTGGTTACATCAATAGATAATTAACATTTGGAATCAACATGGCGCAAGATTATGGGGTGCCGTATGTAAAGTTACACAGTCAAAAATTAACAGCAATATTTTTGGTTTATTAAGCCTTTCATAAGAAAAAATAGGGTTTTTTTTCAAAGTCATATTTTTAACTTGTACATTTATAAATGTCATAGTTCCAAACGAAATATTAAATTTACAAGCTAAATGTTTAGTTTACAAACTAAATACTTAACTTGCAAGTTAAATATTTAGTTAGCAAGCTAAATATTTAGCTCCACACTAAATATTTAGTTTATGAAGTAAATGTTTGTGTTCAAGATAAATGTTTAATTTACAAACTAAATATTTACCTTGCAAGTTAAATATTTATCTAGTGAACTAAATATTTAGGTGTAAATTAAATATTTAATTTCAAAGCTAAATATTTATTTTCAAAACTATACATTTAATTTCCTAACTAAATATTTATCGTCCAAGCTAAATATTTAATTTCCAAACTAAACATTTAATTTCTGAAATTTTACCTATATTGTGCTAAAATTTGGGATGGTAGTAGCTGAGACCCATCTCAAACTTACACTTTGTGTGTTAAATGATGGTGCAAGCTCTCTTTAAAATGGAAAATCGCTCTGTCACTGATTATTAATAAAGTATTTCAGTAGACATTCAGTTTGTTGCTTACAGCCAGCTCTTGCTCCTTGTTGCCTCCATCAATATCACCCCACTCTTCTTCCTCCTCTGCAGGGTCGTAGCTGTACAGAGGAATCAGCCGGTGGCGCAACTCATCTAATCTGAAAGAAGGGATAGCAAAATAAAGTAACTAAAAAAAGTAAGCTTCTCTTAACTTGTTGCTTAAATTAGAAAACAAAAGTAGCTTACCTTGATCTTCTCCTGAAATAATAAACCTAAAGAGGGATGCACATCCTTAAATAACTCATACGCAGATATGGTGCTGAAAATCAAGATCTCTCTTACCACTGCTACTATACATCCAGTGAGGGTCAGTAGAAGGAGTGGGATGAATGCAAAGTAACCAGGTTTGTTGTGTGGTGGTGTGGGTAGAGGTGTTGTGTGGTTCTGATTCATTTCTTTTCAGCTCGGGTCCCTCTTTCATTGGAGTGTACCTCAGCTGAAGCTGGGACCGTCTTTCCCTCCAGAAGGACTTCAAGACATTCCTGTACCTGTGAGAAGCTCATGCTTAGAGGGTCAAAGAAACGTTCCCATGAGAAGCGTTATTGCTGAGTCAGTGCAATGGATTTTATAAACTGACACAGGATGTTGTCTAGTTTCCTTGTTTGGAAAAATAAAGAACTAAAAAAAGAAGAAGAAGAAAAAAGAACTTACCGTGAAGGTGAGCAGTGAAGCGGTACTTCCTGACACACATTTGCTTCCTGCTTCTCTTTTCAGAAACAAAAAACAAAACACCAAAGCATTGTTCTGATGAGTCAACCTGCTCTCTGACATTCCTGAGACAGGTGTGAGGTGAGACATCTTTAAATGACAATTATTACAGTAAACATGCACACCTTTGAGGCACTGAAGTGGATTCATGTAAGATAGCATTAAAGACCTAACATTCTTTACTGAAACACATATTGCCGCCTTTCTGTTCAAAGGTTTAGATCATCCTACGCTAAGAAATGAGAGTCAAACCATGAAACTGACTTTACATGTAATCACATGCAATGTCACACGATGCAGACCTCTCAGCTCCCACCATGGCAGACTAGATTTAGAAATTTAGAATATTGTACTGTCAGTGAAAAAGACTGAATTCCAGACATTTTTCTGTTTTGGCTGTGATCTGCATCCAAAAATTATTTTTTGTGAGTGTGCGGTAAACTTGAAGTGTATGCGTGTTTGCGCGCGTGTGTGTGTGTGTGTACTTATGTATGTACATACACATTCATACATACATACACATATAATTTATTTAACCAGGCAAATCCCATTGAGATCACAGATCCCTTTTGCAAGGGAGGTCTGAAGCAGCCTAACATGCATGTTTTAATTCTGGGTGAGGAAACCAGAGTACCCGGGGAAAACCCACGCAAGCACAAGAAGAACATGCAAACTCCAGCTCGATGGACCACAGGTCCAACCGGGGAATATATATATATACATATATATATATATATATGTATATATATATA